TATCCCCCCCCCCCCCCCCCCGCCAACACAGATCTAATGCAATGTGATACAAAGTGAGAATTGACTGTGTAAACTCCGTCCTCGTGTCTTGTGACTTATTAGCGATCACCTCCACCGTCACCAAGAGTAGAAGCAAGTGAAAAATAAGTGTCATAAATTGTATTTTATCTCTATTTCCCTACGCAATCCACTCATATCCGCTCGCTCTCCTCTCTCTCTCTATCATCACCTACCGTTTAAACCAATTCTTAATCCTCTTCAACCCTTCACTGCCAGATGATCTATCAGAACTGCCAATACTGCTTCCACTGAAAATACCACCACTTACACTTCCACCCCCAGTGCTACTATTCAAACTCGACAACGAAGTCGACTTTAACCGATAATATTGCTCATCGCCACCAAACTTCAACTTCAAACTAGCCATAGCGTGATCATCAATCAAATTCTTGTACCCGCCTCTTTGACGATACAATGACCACGACGAGGACGAAGACGAACTTGATGTGGATCCAACTATGCCGCTACTGGTATTTTGCGAGAATCCCAATGAACTAGAACTCGATAAACATCCCCGTGCATCAATCCATGTATTCTTCAAGATATAATGACCAAATACTTGCCACAACAAATCATTGGATAAGTAATAATTCATGGGGAATTCATAGTTTTCAAGATACGTATCCCAATCATTAACTTTTCTGGCTAATTTGCAACATTGGTTTTGAATATCTTTAAATGTGATATTTTCATTAATAAAGGAAAAAATATGTTCATTGTCCTTGCACAAGGAATGAATAAACCCATCGGCATTATCCTCTCCAGCTAAATCAAGTAGATCATTGCGTTCAAATTCCAACGCGCCAATCTTGTACACATCTTTATTTTCATCTCCTTCATCCAATTCGTCTAAATTGGGATGAATCAAGTCCAGTTGAGGTGTGGCGGAAACAGAATTGGAAAAGCTGGATATTGCATCTGCTGCGAGACTACCAGTAGCTCGATGAGAGACGCCATTATTATTGCCATTACCGTTGCCGTTGCCGTTGCCGTTGCCGTTGCCGTTGCCACTAGCATTACTATTGTTGTTTACACTTTCAGCATTGGCTACCAACATTGCCAATTCAGTTAGTCGTAAATAGTGATCAATCAAGTATGGCGTACTTGGAAGCTCATTGGAATTATGTTGGTCTAATCCAAGATTCATCCTCTTGAGCTCATGACTTAGATCAAGTATCTTTTCATTGAAATCGTTGCTCCTGCCAGTGATTCGATTAAAGTAAGTAATAACTTCGTCCTTGTGTGATCGCAAAAATGGATTCAATTTGATCAAGTGTGGTTCTTTGTGAATACTAAACTCTTGTCGATTAGCCAAATTCAATAAAATCTTTGCAATCAATGTCAATGTTCGCTGAGTAGTACCAGTCTGATGGTTCTTGGCAAGATAGAACAATTTGGGATTCAATATAGCAGGGCAAAAGAATCGAAGAAATAAAAACGCCGAAACACAATTTAAGCTTGTAGTCTTGTCATCTGGCTCACAAACTAACTCAACTTTGCTTCTAAAGCTCTCCAATTGCCTCTTGATTTGATCAGGCATATCCTTAGAAGTAATGTAAATCTTGTGCCAAATTTCCTCAGCATACCCCAATAAGTTGTGATAGTTTTCTTCAACCATTTGTTTAACACGTTCATCTTTTTCACGTTCAAAATCAGAATCATATTCACCATCACTACCGCCACTACTATCATCGTCAAAGTCTTCAGCGTCATCTATTGAAGGATAACCTTTTCGCAACGCCCGCTCTTGGACCCGTACATACCGAGGATCAACTTCACAGTTTTTGCCCTCGCGATCAATCTTGGCAAAAAAATCACCAAATACTTTTTCCAAATATTCTTGACCAATTCGCAAATTATACTTTTCAAGCGACTTGGAAAAAATCGAAGACCCTCGAAACAAGGTATTGAAAACATTATTCAGTGAAGAAGTGGGATTGATGGCGCTCTCCTTCTTGTCCTGGCTATTCCTCTTGTGATAGCTTTTCCTTGAAGCCCTATCCAAATTAACCAATTCGCTCTCCATCAAATTCTTGAACCACTCATCTTCAACTTTTAGGCTTTGGAAAATATCAAGTAAAACAACACTAACGCGTTCAAAATCGGCTGAGGAAACATTTTCATTACAAAACTTGATCAAATCTTTCCAAGGAGCATTCACCAACATCTTTTCCATTGGTTTGAAAAATTGTGGGGGCAAAATGTGATACTCTTTCAAATTGACTTCAACAAGAAGTTTCCCAATGGGGATGTTGTTTGGATCGTAGATGGTCAATCGCATGATATCGAGATTGGCGCTATTGGCATTGTCTATGGTGGCGTTCGAGGAAGGTAGTGGAATCGAATTGACGTGTATGCTATTGACCGAAGCTGCGCTGGTCATTATTGTGGAGCTTGTCTTAATCTGCTTTGTAAGAATATCTGGAGTAACGTAAATAGTTCCCAACAACTTATCCTGCGGCGAATAAACTGAATCGTGGTTACATCTTTTGATCAAAATATGAATCATTTGCGTCGAAATCGGCAAGTCAGTCAGAAACTCCTCCTTCCAAAAGGGGTTATTGGTTTGATTCACAATGGCAGTTCTTGACCACGGGTACCCCCACATTCGCACTTCGGCGTAAATTTTGGCAGGGTGATTTTGGGAATTGGTGTTGGTAGTGGGACTAATGCTGTTACTCATATTTTCAAACTTGGCTTCAATAATGTCAATAGTCAATTTTTTCGAAACTCTGAAATGAGCTTTGCTAAAGTCACGCAATTGAGGATGGTCTCTATTTTCAGCATTTATCAACTTGGATTCACTGTTAAAAGACCCAATATACTCCCGTTTAGCAAAATAATTTAATCCAACAAACCAATCTTCCAAATCAATATGTAATGGGAATTCAATAAAGATACGATGATTACTAGGTATAATCTTTCCCTCACGTGTCAAGAAAGTTGTCAATAATTGGTCAGCAGTCAATGTTGTAGTAGTTCTAATAGTGTTGTTGTATCGTAATTCCTTCAATTGGCCCACAAACAAGACGTTACTGCTGTTGAATATAGAGTGATGTACCTCGCGTATTTCGCTCGCTAATATGCTCTTGATGTCTATCGAGTACAATAGTGTTCCATCCAACTCGCTAATGAAATTTAGTATCCCGTTGGAATTTAAAGCACCCATGGTGTAAAACCAACCTTCATTGATGGTATTATTGTCATTTGTTGATTGGAAAACTGAGCCACTAATCGCATTGTCATTGTAATTGCCGCTGGTATTATTGTCGCTGGTATTCTTGCGAGGATTTGTGGCAAATTCATCAATCTTTGGTTGATAAGTGGGGGCTTGAGGTCCGCTAATTACATTTAAATTCTTGTATTTGTTGGGCAATGGGCCGTAAATCTTGAACCGACAAACCAACAACTCATTGGGCACGGCGTCAAGTTTGTTAGCAACTTTGTTTTCACTATACCACTTCTTTGCCAATCCTTGAGGTTTCAAATTCTGCCACACAATCAAACTACTAATCAAATTACCAAAGTTCGCTTTAGATGCAATTTTAATGTATAGCTTGTCATTGTCAAAAGTCTTGATAAAAACAGTTGGAGGGTCATCCAGCTGAGATTCATTCAGCTGATGCTGGCTGCCACTGCGTTTAGACAAGCTTCGTTTACTGGAAGGTGAGTGTTGCTGCAGTTTAGTAGTGCTGGCGGTGGTGTTGGTGGGAGACGAAGATGCACTTGTCAAAATTTGTACGTGGCACGATTGTAGTGACTGTAACAACAAATAGTGGTTTGCTTGTTCATCAGAGGAATACAACTGTCCGTGTTCAGTGATTGATAAAGAATCAACTTTGATCCACGTAATGGAATCAGTTGATACTAGAAAATCTTTACCTTCAAAAGCACCTTTATCACGTAGTACTGCTTTGTAGTAGGCTGATTGGTGTGACATCTGTGCTTACTGCTCTGTATGTAAAGTGTGTGTATCTGTAGTCTGCCTATTGCCTTTTTTGTCCTTGGGTTGTCAAAAAATAAAAAAATTTTGGTACTTTGATTTCTGGAAAAAAAATAAAAAAATAAAAAAATAAAAAAATAAAAATAAAAATAAAACTAAAATTGTTAGAGAGTGGAGAGTGTAAAGTTTCACTAAGGAATGGCGTGTACTGTTCTTTGTATAAGGAAACTACAAACCAATACTCAATCTACAGTATGTACTTTCAAGAGGAAAAATCTATCATCTATGTCTTTTCTGTAGTAATGTGGTATAATATAACCAAAGCTGTTGGTACTATTACGTCTAGTTTGTTTACTGTTGTTAGTGGTGTGTTGTAGTTGGATACGTTATCCGCCCGTCGTCTAAAAAAATATTGATTTAGCCCGCCACACCCATTGAAGAAAACTCTTGTCAACAAATATAGAATACATCATACACTCTGCTAGCCAGAGAGAGAGAGAGAGAGAACACTTCTCCTTGCTATTATTACCCTTGAGCAAGATTGTGGGCAGTACTATCATAGACAGTGATGGATCGTGTGTGTAACAAACTGTCTATAACTTTAGCCTAATACGTGTCATTCGATTGTTTTGTTTGTTATGCGCACACGCAGGAACAAAACACACAATACGCGTCGCTTATTTTTCGTCTAAGGTGCAAACACACGATATATTCATATTCACACGCATACACACATCAACAACCCACACAGAGACACAGGAACAATGATGATAACAGCTATGTTGATAGAGACAGGAAAAGAGATATACACCTACAATTGGGACTGTGGACACACGCGTATTCTCTTGTTCTAACACGTGACATCGTCTATGAATATTGAGTTTTGTAACTGGTTCGCGTAGAACAAAAGATCAACCATTTCTACTCGGAAAGGACTCCACTTTTTTTTTTTGCGTTTGCAACCACCACTGGCTTTACAGGAATCCAGGCACGCTGCAATCCGCTTGGTGGCGTCGCTGGAAACACTTCGTCTGTCTCGTATATGATTCTAATTAGCCAAAGGTTGTGCTTTTGTTTGAGCCAGTTTTAAACCCTCTAACTGACAGCTGAAATTGTAAGCTACTTGTATTCATATCCCAGTGGCACTCTTATTTCCTTGTGACGCTCTCATCTTAAAGATTTGTAGGCTTAGCCAAATTTTGTCACCATCTGTACTTCTTCGCCTCCATTTGCCAAAAATAAAAAGACTTCGAGACTTAAACTCTTCTCAACAAAAAGCTTTCACCACTTAGAAGCTAACGTTTAGTCTCACAGAAATTACGTTTCTATTTTAGTCAACACAGTCAGGGTTGAGAGGGTTCATTCTAAAATCCCGCTTTGTCTCTAGTAATACCAAAGAAAAAAAAAAAAAAAAAAATTAAAGAAACAAGAAGCTATATCGGCCCTTTCTCTTCTGTGAATCGTAACAGCTACATCTTTAAAATCTCGTTTAAACGCGTAGCAATAGCGATACACTCCAAAAGGACAAAGGTGAGTTACACTCCCACTGTAGAATTGAGTAGTGCAAGGTCCCCATTCCAACTAACCTCAATAAGTCGTGTGCCTTGCGACAAAAAACGAACCATGTCCGAGGAGAGCCAGAAGATACAAAGAAAAAAAATTTTTAAAACCTTTTCACATCACGACTCATTTTGAGGTTTCACCAGAACAATCGCACACCTATCCATAGATCGTTTTCTATTCGACCCTTTTCCAACAGTACTATTTTATTGGTTGCCAGATGTATCGATTAGGTTAACAGCTACTAGATACAACATTAAAGAAGAAGAAGAGCCCAAGAAAAAGAACCAGAGAAAGAGAAAGGATTATCAACAGAATTCTTTTCAAGCATATATAATCACAGACGATTTCGTTGCAGTATAATATCGTTTGCTTTGTCGTTTCACATAACTGGTAATATCCACAAACGTATATCGCCTTTATTAACGCCAGTGGTGTAGCAACAGTGCCAAATTGGTCATGAGTAACTTGATTTCTAATGCTGCTGCCGCAGCACATTTGCCATCTTCAAATTTTTCACCATTTGATCAATCACAGTTGAACGCTATGGAGAATAGAAATGGTTTCAATGACAGCGCCTCGTTTCACGACCATGAATTAGGATTGGCTCACACAGCACAAATCGGTGCTTTGATTGAAAGTGAAGAAGAGGGTGACGTTTCGGAGATCTCACAACATTATGAACACGCTTGTGCGTATTGTGGTGTACATACTCCCAACTCGGTCATCAAGTGTAATACTTGTAACAAATGGTTTTGCAACTCGAAAACCAACTCAACGAGCTCGCATATTGTCACCCATTTGGTCATGTCACGTCATAATCAAGTTAGTTTACATGAAGAGTCAGATCTTGGAGAAACTACTTTGGAGTGTTACAATTGTGGTAACAAGAATGTGTTTATGTTGGGGTTTGTGTCTGCCAAGCAGGAATCAGTGGTTGTGATATTATGTCGATTGCCATGTGCTAGATCCAAAGATATCAACTGGGATACCAGTCATTGGCAAGCATTGATTGAAGATCGACAATTTTTATCGTGGTTGGCACCACCGCCGACTGAAGATGCATTGATAGATTCGGTTATGGTTACACCACAACAGATTACCAAGTTGGAAGCGCAATGGAGATTGAATAGAAATGCCACCATCAACGATATAGAAAACACTGACAAACAAGAAGAGGAGGTATTGCCGATACTTATGAGGTATACTGATGGATTCCAATACCAACATTCATTTGGACCTTTGGTGAAATTGGAAGCTGACTATGACAAGAATCTAAAAGAATCACAAGCTTTGGAACACATCCAAGTGAAATGGGCGTTGGGGTTGAATAACAGACACTTGGCCTCATTCACTCTTTCAACTTTTGAAACCACTGATTTGAAAGTTGCTGTTGGAGATGAGATTATTTTGAGATATAGTGGGAGCCAGGGCGAAGCATGGCAAGGTCAAGGGTTTATCTTGCGGTTGCCAAATTCTTACCAAGAAGAGTTTACATTGGAGTTGAATCCGTCAAAGGTTGCCCCACCAACACATTTAACCACTGATTTCACTGCTGAGTTCGTTTGGAAAGGTACTTCATATGATCGTATGCAACAGGCTATGAAGGATTTTGCCACTGATGAAAAATCAGTCTCGTCATATATCTATCACAAGTTATTGGGTCATGATGTTGCCCCAGTTGAGTTTGATATTGAGTTACCCAAGAGATTCTCGCACCCTAAATTGACTGAATTGAACGTGTCGCAAGCAAATGCGGTCCGATCCGTTTTGCAGCGTCCGTTATCTTTGATCCAGGGACCACCGGGTACTGGTAAAACTGTTACTTCAGCAACTATTGTGTATCATTTGTCAAAGTTGAATAAGGAGAAGATTTTGGTTTGTGCTCCATCCAACGTTGCTGTTGATCATTTAGCGGCCAAGTTAGATTCCTTGGGATTGAATGTTGCTCGATTGACTGCCAAATCGAGAGAAGATGTCGAAAGTTCAGTGAGTCATTTGGCGTTACACAATGTTGTCAACAAAACTGCCAAAGGCGAATTGAAAAAATTGATTAAGTTGAAAAATGAAGTTGGCGAGTTGTCCGCTGAAGATTCGAAAAAATATATCAAGCATTTGCGTACTTCAGAATTGAAGATTTTGAACAAATGTGATGTTGTTTGTTGTACTTGTGTTGGTGCTGCTGATAAGAGATTAGCGCAGTTTAAGTTTAGAACCGTGTTGGTTGATGAAAGTACTCAAGCTTCTGAACCTGAAGTGTTGATTCCCATTGTTAAAGGGGCCAAGCAAGTGATTCTTGTTGGTGACCATCAACAATTGGGTCCGGTAATCTTGGATAGAAAAGCTGCGGATGCCGGGTTGAAACAATCACTATTTGAGCGATTGGTTTTCCTTGGGCACGTTCCGATCAGATTAGAAGTCCAGTACAGAATGCATCCTTGTTTGTCGGAGTTTCCAAGTAACATGTTTTATGAAGGTTCTTTACAAGATGGTGTCACCAATGCTGATCGAGTTGTTGCAGACTCTTCGTTCCCATGGCCAGTTATTGATACGCCAATGATGTTTTGGGCCAATTACGGACGTGAAGAGTTGAGTAGCAGTGGTAATTCGTACTTGAACAGAGTTGAAGCTATGAATGTGGAGAGAATCATTACTCGATTGTTTAAAGACGGTATCAAGCCGGAGCAAATTGGAGTCATTACACCATATGAGGGACAACGAGCATATTTGGTGCAGTTTATGTCGATGAACTCAACATTGTTGAATAAGCGTGATGAGTATCTAGAAGTTGAAATCACCAGTGTGGACGCATTCCAAGGCCGTGAAAAGGATTTCATCATTTTGAGTTGTGTGCGTGCTAATGATTCACAAAGTATTGGGTTTTTGAGCGATCCAAGAAGGTTGAATGTTGCATTAACTAGAGCCAAATATGGGTTGTTGGTGTTGGGTAATCCACGAGCTTTGAGCAGGAATCGATTGTGGAATCATTTGTTGGTTCATTTTAGAGAAAAGGGATGTTTGGTGGATGGGCCATTGGATAATTTACAATTGTCGATGGTTCAGTTGAATAATTACAATGCTGGAAATAATCGTAACTTGAAAGCAGGTGCCGGTGCAAGTGGTGCCGGTGCTGGTGCTGGTGCTGGTAGTCAACATCAAAAGAGGCTGCACCACGGTTTTGGTGCGCCTTCGACAAGCTACTTACTGACCAATTTTGATTCAGCTGCAAGTGGAGTTGGTGCAAGTGAGGCCCCTTACCAATCAAGATTGCGGAATGAGCTTTGGCCAGCGTTGGCCCCGCATCACCAAAATGAACCAGGTGCAGATGGCGGTGGAGAGTTATACTACAATGATTCCAATTCCATTAGTGCCAATTTCTATTCCAAGTTGAACAAATTGGACAAAAGTTTTGTCAATGGTGGTAATCGATATGCTGATGAAAATATTGAAGATGAGATCAAGAGTATTACTAGTTCGTTTGCTGCTGGATTGAATTTTTAGAGTACCGCGCAGAAGGGAGGTATATAGCTATGCTCTAAATGAATAAGAAATGGTTGATTGCGCAGATTATACAATTACTCTCGAGGCTCAGGTATTAGACAGGCTTACTTACCGTGACTAATTGGCTGTTTCTGAGGGCTGGAATATCAAATCGATGTGAAAGAGACCCCCCCCCCCCACATCCCCTCTCCAAAGTAGTCATTGATTTAGCTTGTGTGCATATTTGATAAGCCTCGTCAGTCTATCGTCGTATACGGTGTGCGCTACCGAACTTGGTGAATAAGCCCTGTTTTACAAATTTTCAATTGCTACGAAAGGATGCGGCTCACATTGCGTATGTTCAATTTCGTGCATGTTTATTTGCTCTCGGCAGTTGATAGAAGATACGTGTGTATAGGGGATGAACAGACTGTTGAATGTTATCTTTCACAGTGAGAAGATATTCAACCGACGCTGGAATGAAGTTCCACGCGTTCGGAGTTTACACTCTGCTGTTTCTTTTTCGCTTCTCCTATTTCGCCCGTTTATATATTTTATTTTCTTTTTTTTTTTTTTTTTTTTTTCAAACCGACGCGGCAACCTCGGGTGAGATTTCTTTTTTTTCGGCGTTTTAAATATCTCAACTGCTTTGCAAATCGGGGACCTTTATAACATAAGAGGCGGGGTTGAGATTGTTGAGGTCACAGGATGGTACAACACATTGTCTGTGTTCTCTCTAAATTATGTTTGATGATAAGAGAACGAGTGCAGTCCGAAATTTGGTTGCAGCTTTCTCTCTAGTTAATGTGTTTATCGTTTGTGGCGCACGTGCGTGCGAGAAAAAGAGCGCACGTTTTTTTCTTTTTTTTTTTGCACACCCAACGGTTGGTTGTCTCCATTTCATCTTCAATAAATGTATTTGTGTGTGTGTGTGTAGAGAGTGTGTCTGTGTGTGTGGAGAGAGTATGTCTATGTATGGTTATTATTATTGTTGCTTTGCTTTCCTTTGCTTGTTTGCTCTTTAAATTTTGTTTGTTTGTTCCACATTCCTTCCTTCATTTCGTTAGGAGCTTCCATGTAATTTTTACGCGCCAGACATATCACACACAGATAATCGCTCTGACGTAATTGGTCAGCCGGGGGAGGGTGAGAGAGATAATTGAAAAGTTGTGCTAGTTCAAAGCATATGGTGGTAAGGACTGTGAGGAGCATCTAGAAGTAGATCGATTGCAGTAACTGATAAGGACTCCTAATGGTTATACTTTAATATGGTAAGTACACCTGTATATGCTGTTACCGCCAAACAGTAAAAGAAAAGAAAAAGAAACGAGAGACAAAAGCAAAAGCAAAAAGAAGAAAAAGAAATTTTTCGCGCCATACAAATCTTTTCCACTCTCAATTTATCATACAACAACAACAACAACAACAACACATTTCTTTTATCTGAAAGAACAAAATTCTCTCCAAGTGAATAAAACATTACAGGATTTTCCTTCCTCATACATTCTTACTTCATCACTACAGAGGCTGCTTCATTACATATAGAGAAAGGCACCTGTTCAACCTATCCACTAAGCTTAATATAAACAGATCATCTCGGACGACACTGAATCCACTTTAATCATCACCGAATTTTCAGGAGTCAACAATTTTACACACCACTTGCGACCCATTCCATTCCGCCCCCCTCCCCCCTTACTACTACTACTACTCAATCGTGTCAAACTACTCAATATTGCTTATAGTTTGAAACCGCTTTAGCTTTTTATTATACACTAATGACCACCGAAACAATGCCTTCCGTATCCGAAGAAGAAATTTTAGCATCATATCCACAAATCAGCCAGCCTACCCAATTGACTGGTTTCACCTCCAATTTGACTGAGGAACAGAAAAACCTCACCATTGAGTTGCGTAAAGAGTTGGTGGCTTTGGGTTACAAGGACAGATTGGATGATGCAAACCTCTTGAGATTCTTGAGAGCTAGAAAGTTCAACTTGAACTTGGCCAAGCAAATGTTTGTTGATTGTGAAAACTGGAGAGAAAAGTTTGGTACAAACACCATCTTGAAAGATTTCCACTATGATGAGAAGCCAATTGTTGCAAAAATGTACCCAACCTACTACCACAAGACTGATAAAGATGGACGTCCAGTATATTATGAGGAATTGGGTAAAGTTGACTTGAACAAGATGTTGAAGATCACAACTCAAGAGAGAATGCTCAAGAACTTGGTGTGGGAATACGAGAACATGGTTCTTTACCGTTTGCCTGCATGTTCAAGACAAGCTGGCTACTTGGTTGAAACATCGTGTACTGTTTTGGACTTGTATGGAATCTCCATCTCTTCCGCGTACAATGTCATCGGGTACGTGAGAGAAGCCTCCAAAATTGGTCAAGATTATTACCCAGAGAGGATGGGTAAATTCTACTTGATCAATGCTCCATTTGGATTCGCAACCGCTTTTAAACTATTCAAACCGTTTTTGGACCCAGTTACCGTTTCAAAAATCCACATTTTGGGTTACTCATATCAAAAGGAATTGTTGAAGCAAATCCCACCTCAGAATTTACCTAAAAAGTTTGGGGGTGCTGATGATATCAGCGATGACGATTTACTTTTGAAAGATATTGGCCCTTGGAGAGATCCAGAGTTTATTGGTCCTGAAGGTGAAGCTCCCAGAGCCTACAATGTATAAGGCAAAGGAGAGAGAGAGAGAGAGAGAGAGAGAGAGAGAGAGAGAGAGAGAGACGAAGAAGATAGATTTGTGTGTGTCTGTATGTATAGAATAAAGATCTGGTGAACGGGTGACGGGGCTTGTTCTTTGTTGTGTGCTCTTTATTGGATCCGATTCTGATACATATGTTGTTTTGAAATAATGTTCATACGTGTCCTTTTGATATAAGGTTATAGAGTCTTTTTTTTTTTCTTTAATCAAGTTTATGTCTGAGATTTTTTTGATAAAAACGCCTTTGGTTTTGCAATCTGTGACTGTATGAATTGTATTGGAGTTGCCTAGATCTACTTGTGTAGACTGTTTTGTTCATTGTCTCTTTGAGGTTGCAAAAGTTTGCAAAAGTTTTCATCTTTTTCATGGAAGGAATAACAAGGGGGGCAATGCCACATGTATTTGTGCAGAAGATTTGATGTTGCACAATTGCAGTGTATGATAAGTGGCCTGATGGTGCATTGCCGAATGAGATGAGGAGGAGGAAGAGGGGGGGGAAGGGGAGGGACTCTAATCTTGCTAATTAACTTTCTGAAGCATCGTTGCTCTACAATGCGTAGTAAATTGTTGTTCACACACTCATTGTTACCAGCACGTCTCCAACATTGCCTACTTTCTGCTTCTGGTAGTCATGCTGCTACATTCGATACATGATTTGAACAATCTACCTATTCAAAACCTGAGATTCAGCCACATCGAAAACCCTCATTACTACCTAGATGAGAATCTACATGAAAATAAAATCGAAGATCTAGCCTCTACAACCACTTTAGAAAACATTTCAACTCCGTCAACTCCGTCAACTCCCAAGTTTTCATTCTTCAAGCGTATAAAGTCGATGTGGAGTACCAATGGTAGAAGATACGTTACTGCGGCTGCTGTAGTCTTGGCACTTTTCGCCATTGCTGTGATTTTCGTTGTAACTTCGACTAAATTGTTGAACGACCCAGTTAAAGACGGGGCTAAGGTTGAGAAATTGACAAGCATCAAGTATCTGCAATTGAAGGCCATTCGAACCAATTTGGTGGATCCAAATACACCAGCTGGTGCCCACAATAAAACGCCACATTGGAAGTTGGTCTACTCTGATGAATTCAACTCTGATAATCGATCATTTGGGGAATATGAGGATCAATTTTTCACTGCTGTCGACTTGCATTATAGGGCTACTCAAGATTTAGAATACTATTTACCTCATATGGCAGCCACCAGAAATGGCAGTTTAGAAATCACATTTGACAAGCTTGCCTATAACGGGTTTGAGTATGTTTCTGCAATGTTACAAAGCTGGAACAAATTGTGCTTGAATAAGCAGGTTAAAGTTGAGGTTCGAGCAAAATTACCCCATGGCGTTGCGCATGGGCTATGGCCCGCGGTTTGGTCTTTGGGGAACTTGGCACGTCCGGGATATTTAGCAACAACAGATGGAATATGGCCGTACACGTACAGCGAATGCGATTTAGGAATCACCCGCAACCAATCTACTTTGAATGAGAATATGTCGTACTTGCCAGGTCAGAGATTGAGTATGTGTACTTGTGTTGGAGAAGATCATCCGAGTTTAGGTATTGGTCGAGGCGCACCTGAAATTGATATTATCGAAGGGTTGTACGAGTATGGGCGAGTGGTTGGAGTTCAAACAGTACAAGTTGCTCCCTTTGACGAATGGTGGAGACCGGATTATGACTATGTCGATATTAGCAATAAGAATGCTACTTATGTTCGAGAAGATGTGGGGACCGTGTACCAAGAATCAATCTCGTTGGCTACTCAACTCAGGACGGATGACTTTGTTACTTTTTCAATGGAGTACAAGAGTTTGTCTCAGGGTGAGAGTTATGTGAAGTTTGAAATGAATAACGAGCCGACGTTTGCCATTAATGAATCTGCTTTTAGATCAAATGGATTGATTGGATCAAGACAGATTACAAAAGAGCCAATGTCACTCATTTTCAATATGGGCTTATCGAAAGTATGGAACCCTAGATTGAAAATTGAGAAGTTGCAATTACCAGCCAAGTTTTATATCGATTACGTTAGGATTTATCAGCCACTGGACTTGGTTGAGTTAACTTGCGATCCCGATGATTTCCCAACTAGTGTGTATATTAACACTCATATGAATGCTTATATTGATTGGGAATTGAGTACATGGAGCGAAGCTGGTTATGGATTCCCCCGAAACTCCCTTGAAAACAAATGCAAAGCTCCAAGTTAAACCAGAGATAGCATATTTTGAGAGCAAGTAATTCGAGATTCTGTATGTATGTGTGTGTGTGTGTGTGTGTGTGTGTGTGTGTGTATGTATGTGTGTGTGTATGTATGTAGCTATATGTCAAGCGTGTGATTGTTTTTGTTGTTGCTGTTGTTTAGTACTGGTGATACTGCTGTAGGTTGCAAAAAATCTCGGCGTTTTGTTGCGGTTGAAAATAAAAATGATATTACACAAAATAGGGGGCAAAGGAGCGGATATGATGATCCATACACCAAAAAAAACGAGAAAAAAACGTCTCTTTATAGACACAATCTTTCTCCTCTGGTGATTACTACCACACGCTTGTACACTATATTCCTCAACATGCTAGGCCTTCAGATATTTCTACTATTGAGTTGCATGTGTGGCTTTGCGGTCTCCAAAACCCATAATTTCGATTGGGAGATTGGCTATGTTACAGCTAACCCTGACGGGATGCACGAACGAAGAATGATTGGTATAAATAACCAGTGGCCAAATCCTACAATCAGAGTGAAGCAGCACGATAGAATAATACTCAATCTTCACAACGGATTACCCGACAGGAACGCTTCATTGCATTTCCACGGATTATTGCAAAGAGGTTTTAATGGAGAGGATGGGCCGGAGATGGTTACGCAGTGTCCGGTTGGACCTGGTTCAACCATCACGTACGACTTCAATGTTGGTGGGCAAACTGGAACATACTGGTACCATTCGCATAGTGGATCGCAATATGGTGATGGATTGAGAGGGATGATTATCATTGAATATGCAGACAAGAAGGATGAGCCTTACTCTTATGATGAGGACGTGTCATTGAGTGTTAATGACCACTACCATTTGGAGTCACCTGCCATTGTCAAGCAATTCTTATCTCGATTCAATCCGACTGGTGCCGAGCCAATTCCACAGAATAGCTTGTTCAATGAAACTAAAAATGTTACTTGGAATGTCAAGCCGGATACTACGTACTTGTTGAGGATTGTCAATATGGGATTGTTTGTATCGCAATATTTGCAGATTGAGAATCACAAATTTGTCATTGTCGAGATTGATGGTGTAGCTGTTCAGCCATACGAGGTGGATTCAATTTACATAACTGTGGGTCAAAGATATGCGGCGTTAGTCAAGACAAAACTGCAAAGCGGAACAAACTACCGATTTATCAATGCGTTGGATGTTGAAATGTTGGATGTTGTGCCGGAAGATCTCCAATTGGTCTCAACTAATTATTTGGTTTATGACGAAGGTGCATCAAAACCAGAGCACTATCCATACTATGATTTTGAAAAGTTTACAGAGTCGCTTCATGGGTTCAACGATTTCGACTTGACGCCATTGAGTGGGGAAAAGCTATTACCGGAGCCTGATATCACCATAGAAGTCAACTTTTCAATGGAGGTTTTAGGGGATGGTGTCACATATGCATTATTCAACGACAAGAGCTACGTTCCTCCAAAAGTCCCCATCTTGTATACAGTCTTGTCCAGTGGTGAATTAACTACGAATCCAGAGATATACGGCTCCAACACCAATACGTTTGTGTTGCAAGGTAATGAAACGGTCGAGTTAATCTTAAACAACCATGATCCTGGAAAGCACGCCTTCCACTTGCACGGACACAATTTCCAAGTCATTTCTCGCAGTCCTGGTACTGATGATGAGGACCACCCAGTTGAATTTGATCCTAGCAATGATACCATGACTGACTACCCTGAATATCCCATGATTCGTGATACTGTTGAAGTCAACTCCAACGGGTATTTTGTCTTGCGCTTCAAAGCCAATAATCCGGGTGTTTGGTTCTTCCACTGTCATGTTGATTGGCATTTAGAGCAAGGCTTGGCCTTGGTGTTGGTTGAAGCACCAGAAGAGATTCAAGCACATCAACAACACATTAGTGCCAATCATGTTGAAGTATGCAAGAATGTGAGTGTGCCTATTCAAGGTAATGCTGCTGCAAATATGGATTTCTTGGATTTGATGGGACAGAATTTGCAGCAACCGCCTCTACCTGAAGGATTCACTGCCAAGGGGTATATTGCGATGGCATTGTGTACTTTGGTTGCAGTTTATGGAATTTGGTCAATCTACAAGTATGGAATTGAAGATGTGAGTAAGGATAATTCTGTGGAGGTTATTGAACGATTGAGTAGAATCCTTGATGAGCATGATGGTGAGAGATGAGTAGGAGTGGCGTGTATGTTGACCGATATATGGTTAAATGATATGTCTAGCATTGTATGCAGTCGCTGTTGTAGTAGACTTTTATTGTTAGCGGCAAAACTGCCGCTCAGGTATTGCGCGCTAAAGATTTCTTGAACAGATAGCTCCGAAAAGTTTTCTAAAGTGTTATCTTCCTTTTTACACTGTCTTTAAAAAACATGACAAAAATTGTGATTGTAGGGTACGTGTTGAGAAGCTAATTGTGCTGACGACATCCAAAAACTAACACAACCCTTTCTTAGTGCTGGTATCATTGGATTTTACACTGCGTTTTCTTTACTAGAGCGTGGGGTTGATGCCAAAGATATAACAATTGTTGCCGGCTATTTACCGGGAGATGAGTCTATCATGTATACTTCACCTTATGCTGGTGGAAATTTCTCCTGTATAACTGGTGACGACCCAGATGTGTTGGAATATGATCGATTGACTTATGTAAACCTCGCCAAAGTGCAAGATGCAATTGGTGGAAAGACAAAGGGGTTAGATAGATACAAGTCAACTGAAATTTGGGATTACAAGTTGACAAAGGAAAAGTATGATTCTTTAAGGAGCTATTTACAAGATTACCACGAGATTGACAAGAGTGAATTACCCAGTGGTGCTGCTTTTGGAATTACTTTTCGTTCGTGGAATTTCAACTGTCCTAAATTCTTGATGAGTTTTAAAACCTACTTGGAAAGTAAGGGGGTTCACATTGTTAGGAAACATTTAGATCACATTGTGCAAGCGTATGGACATGATACTAAGCTCGTTTTCAACTGTACTGGATTGGGTGCTAGGTCATTGGGTGGAGTTGAAGATAAGAACATGTATCCGGCTAGAGGCCAAGTTGTTGTGATCAAAGCTCCCCATATCATGGAGAACGTCATGCGGTGGGGTAATGGAGATCCAACGTATATAATCAAAAGACCCTACTCGCATGATCAATTGATTTTGGGTGGGTTTTTCCAAAAGGGTGATTGGACTTCGGATACGTTAAAGGAACAAAGTGATGACATATTGAAGAGAACCACTCAGTTATTCCCCAAGATCTTAAACGATAATCCTCATGGGAACAAGATTGAAGATTTGGAGGTTGTTAGAGTTGTTGCTGGATTGCGTCCTGGACGGCACGGAGGTGTTAGAATTGAAAAGGAGAGACTTGATGAGGGGAAGGTGCTAGTGCATAATTATGGTGCTAGTGGCTATGGGTACCAAGCAGGGTTGGGTATGGCGTATAAAGCTGTGCAACTAGCACTACCACTAGACGGACCTAAGTTGTAGAAGTTAAGGAAATAAAGCAAACAGCACTGTCTTCCGAATGTAGTAGCCTCGTAATTGTAAGCAAGGAGAGCAAAAAAAAATAAAAATAAAAAATAAAAAAAACAGGACATACGAAATTGGAGGAAACACAGTTCTTCAAGTCAAACCATTTTCCTCCGTCAACCATGTCACAGCTATTTGAATGGGCCTTCGGCAAGAAGCTAACCCCTCAAGAAAGGCTTCGGAAAAACCAGAGAGCGTTGGAAAAGACTCAACGAGAGCTTACACGAGAAGTTACCAAATTACAACAACAAGAAAAGAAATTGATAAGCGACATCAAGAAATCCGCCAAACAGGGGCAAATATCGAGTGCTAAAATACAAGCCAAAGACTTGATCAGGACCAAATCATACATAAACAAGTTTAATTCGATGAAGGCGCAATTGCAAGCTATCTCATTGAGGGTGCAAAGTGTGAGGTCAAACCAACAAATGGCAATGTCAATGAGAGATGCGACGAGAGTATTGTCGGGAATGAATAGATCTATGAATTTGCCGCAGTTGTCGAGAATAGCTCAAGAGTTTGCCAAGGAGAATGATATGATGGATCAGAAGCAAGACTTTATGGATGACGCCATTGACGATGCCATGGCTATGGATGAGGATGAATTGGGCGAGGAAGAGCAAATTGATGAGATATTGGGCAAGGTGCTCGATGAGATTGGTGTTGATTTGAACTCGAATTTGAAAGATACACCGACTGGAATCAATGCGGGTCAGGAAACAGTCAATAATGGCAGAATTGCTGAGAGTATTGGTGCTCAAGGTGAAAGTAGTAGCGGTGGTGGTGGTAGCCACTCTGGAGGCCCTTCAAACCCCGATGAGGACGACTTACAGGCGAGATTAGATAGTTTAAAGAAGTGATCAAGAATAAATACAAGTTTCGCGTAACAAAATATAGCTCTATGAATCTAGTTGATGTATTTCTTTTCCAAAAGATAATCAATGATTTGCTCAGCAGCTTCTTCAACTGTGAGACCAGAATGGTTTTTGACGTGGACCTCTGGCTTCTCCGGTGCCTCATAAGGAGCACTGATACCAGTAAACTCTTTAATAATCCCTTCTCTAGCCTTTTTGTACAACCCCTTTGGATCTCTTTGTTCGGCAACTTCTATAGGCACATCAACGTAAACTTCGACAAATGGCAAGTTATCCTTGGCATGTAATTCCCTGGCCAAGTTTCTATCAGCTCTGTAAGGACTTATAAATGAAGTCACGGTAACACAACATGAATCACTAAATAATTTAGCAACTTCACTAATTCTCCTAATGTTTTCATTCCTATCGTGCTCGCTGAATCCTAAATCTTTGTTCAACCCGAACCTGACATTATCTCCATCTAATCTGTATGAGTTCAACCCGCGGTTCAATATCGACTGTTCCAAAGCACAAGCAATGGTTGATTTCCCACTTGCGGATAAACCAGTCAACCAGACGGTTACACCTTGTTGTTTTCTCAATTCTGCACGTTCTTGGTGAGTCAAGTTTGGGTGCCAAGTGATGTTAGTAGCCATGGTCAGGTGTTGTGTCGTGGATGTTGTTGTTGTGAGTGTAAACTGATTGGAAATGAAGGTTTGAAAATTGTGAAAAATTTCATTGCTGGAACCGGCCGCTTTTGTTATTGTTGTTGTTGGAGAAGAAGAAAAAATAAAAAAAATTGCAATTGATCATTGCACGTGATTTGAGGCGCAAATGTGGGGAGATGAAAGAGACACCCAATGCGAACATCTATTGATGGTTTTGGGAAGGCTTGTTGGGATAGGTCACATCGTATATGTCTGCAAGGTCAAAGAGAGAGAGGGAGGGGTGGAAAGATCAAGCTTGTTTGATCGGTGGTGAAGGTTAATTTTTTTGGTTTTTGTTGTGATGAAGGAGAAAGTGAGAGCACATGAAAATTCTAGCAGTCGGCCGGCCCTTTTGTAGTCTCTGCTTGGTGGAGCTTGCAAGCGTGTTAAATGTAGATACTAGTTGTGTGCTGACTAGCGAGTGAGGTCACATTGTGTCTATATACAATTCGCATCATAAGCGTATAGGCTATAGCACATACGACTGACAAGGTCAAAAACCACTTTATCCAGACCAATTCTACTCACATACAACTATTCTCCATTTCATCCCTGTGTACACTCACCTCAAACCTCCTCAAGTGTGTACTTTGCAGCTCTCATTGCAAAAATTGGTAGCTCACATCTTTCCACCAAAATTTTCTCTTTTCGTCTTCCTAAATGAAAATTTTTTCTTCACCAAACCTAGGCAATCATCAAATACACCAAATCCAATATGTATTATGAACTTTTCGCCATTGCCCGTATAACGGACCCTTTACATGTGACCAAAGAAGCTACAAAAATTGCATCCACAGTTGGCAAATTGATATTAAACAATAGAGGTATAGTTAGGGATATAACGAGTCTCGGTGCCAAACCGTTGCCCAAGATCATATCAAAGGAGCAGGAAAGACATTTCCAGGGATACCACTTTCTTATGGGGTTTGATTCGTCGAGCAAAGTGCAGGCGCAGTTGTTGAGAACGTTGAGAAAAGATCCGAGGATATTGCGTGCTAGTATAATAAGGCATGATTTGAAAAAGAGTTTGAATCCAGGCTCATCGATAGATCAAGCATTGGAAATCAATTAGAGTATGTGGAAGGAGAATCTGATGGTAGAAGGAGGATACGTGCGCTAAAGTGCTTTGAGTATCGTTTTGTAAATAGATGGACTGGAACTGGGTCTTGGGTCCAAGCGCCAGTCGCCTGTCTCCAAAATACAATGAAGTGATGGTTTTAGAACAATGGAAGGTATGAAATGGTAAATGTATCTATCAATTGAGACAGCTTCGACGACCCATTAAGGAATGAATACTTCTGTTTCTGAGTGGTAACGCGTCAATTAGAAGTCTGTGTAGTTGTACATTTATGCACCTCGGGCGTCGCAGGTTCGTATAACAAACTTCAACAAATTAAGTGAGATGAGTTGTAATGTAATGTCAATGCCTGTATATATATATGTATGTTTCCCGTTTTGTATTAGACGATGGAGAGTCTATTAATCAAAAAAAAAAAGCCGACTTTGTGGGATATACACAAATTGAAGGTATTTTGCAGAATTATCAACTGATTTAGGAAGAAATCAAAACATTGACGCAAATACAGAGGAAAAAAAAAGCACACACACACACACAAACAAAGTAAGACTATGCACAAGTTTCCACTTTGATTAAGAACTTTTCATAGTAAACGATTGAGGGGGGGGGGGTTAGATGCCGATGGAAGCTTGTGTTAGTCAAAGAGTAGATGGAAAATATGGCAAAGTAGAGTCTAAAACGTTCTCCAATCATTTTGGCGTGTGTCAAAAGTTGATTCTTCACCAAAGCCACTAGTGATGCCCGCTTTCGAGCAAAAAGTTTGTGATGAATCTGATGTACTTGTCTAGTAGTAGTCTACCATAGAGATGGGTCATTGAACATTGTAGTGGTTAATCAATTGTCTGTGTAATGTTAGTTGTTATTTTATTCTCTTTTGTATCAAGTGTGAAAAGTATAAACAATTCAAAGAAAAAAATTCCCATTAAAGAATAAACTATTGATTCTTCTCCTTCTTTTGATATTCCATCAGTACAAACTTACAAGATACTCCACGACGTTTTTCTTGACTACTAACGGTACTTTCTTGGGGTTACTATTGACAGATTGATACACCTCCCAGATTCCACCAAGCTTTTATTCCCTCCTTTTACAATCGTTCCCCCCCCCCCCACCCCCTGGCATACCCGCTCAATATTTTCTCATAACAACACCACACCAATATTTACCTCACCACCACCACCACCATTATCATCATCATCAATCAATCAATCAAGCCAATTCTATTCAACCACACCCACTGCCATTATTATGAACAACAGCACAGACTCTGAGGAAAAGCATGACATAACAGTAATAATGCAAGACCCAATTGACAAAAGTGCACCAATTACGTCTTCCAAGAGCACCACCCCATTGTCAAGTAATCAGACGGTGTTAAACGCTCGTGAAAGGCATGGTAGAGGTCTGCCGTTCAAGTCCAGATTTAACAGATCCCCTTACCGAACGCAACAGCTACGAAAGGATATACACTCATCACTGGACTCGTTGGATATAAGTACAGAATTTACACAGTCCTCCACTGTTACTAAAGAAGAGTATGATGAACTAGAACGACGGTATGCTGATGTCGTACTTCAATACGAACAATTAAAGGTAGAAAGTGGAAAACTAAGAGAGGAACTGCAGTTGAATCGAGATGATATCGAATCTTTGCAATCACATTTGAAATCAGTTGAACAAGATCTTGCCGATATGGAATTGGAAAAGCAGGGGATGCAGGAGGCGTCTATGCAAAATGAATCAATGTACAAGAAGGTTATAGAAGCTTTGCAAAACAAGGTGGAGGACTTGAGTCTGCAGCTTTCAGCAACTAACAGGTCCACTGCGACCCACCCCCATGGTGACCACACTTTGATGGCCAAATACGAAAAACTCCTACGTGACTATAAAGTTCTTCAGCATCAATTTGAAGTCGAAAAAAACTCGAAACTTGTTTTAATGGATCAGATTGAATTTTTGGCTCATAAGAATGAAGAGCTTGTTAGTCAATTGGAAAGTCCAGTCACTGATGATTTAGCAAGCGAAGGTGACAGAAGCATTGAAGACTATATAAACGACGCAAGTCAAAAATTGAGTTACGAAGAAGGTGAAGATGTTCATACTACTGCGGATATTGGAGATCGATCTATTCCTAATGCAGACTCCACATCAGACTCAATCAAGGTAACCTCGCATTTCCAGTTTCCACCCTCACCGGATCCGCAATCTAAAGAACTAAAGAGACAGTCGTTGCCAACAAACTTGAAGACAAAGTTTACCCTGCAATCGACAGAATTTGTACTATCACCTTTCAAATTGACACCAGGACCATCATCAAGTACAGAAAACAAAGATGGAATGTTTGAAGATGCAGACACGTCAATTATAAAACGGTACTCAACATCCAAACCAACTCACGTCAGATACAACAGTCATGATATACTACCTATCAAAGTGGAATTTGAATCAGATTCCGTGAGATTTACATCCGTGCCGGAAGAAGCACACAAGCAACACCCGGAAATTGGTGTTATTGAAGAGTCATCTTATGACGATTTTGCAAAATTGCACCATCGGGATGGAACCTTTTTTGCGCTAAATGGCATTGATTCTGAAGATACTGGGTTTGATAGCAGTCATCGAATGTCTTACGATGAGTTTGATCTGTCGTCGAAACGTTCCAGCTATATCAATGCTGATGGCAAGACTAGGCAAGAAATTACCAAACTCAAATTTGAGCTTCAGTCGTTGAAGTTGCACAACGAAAAGCTACTATCATACATTGGATTTGAATTGCAAAAGCAAAAAAAGAATATCAAGAAATTGGCCAAGAAACAATCTACCAATTCCATGAGATCTTTGGGTAAGCAAATGGAGTACTCAGATGCAAAACTTATTGAAGAGTCTAAAGATGTGTTGATTAATAAGAAACGGGTGTTGAGGTCGGTATCCATTAATACCGTGTTTAATAAGAATGAAAACTTTGCTACCAATCCTGTGGGAATAAACACAATTGGTGCATCCGATGATGGGCTTATCGCTGATCCAGAACTGGATCCATGTTACAATGAGTCCCCGGAAGTTCCCGGTCTGGAGTCAAATTTTGTGAATGATAAAATTGTGAAAAAATTTGCATCACAGATATTTGAGCGTGACAACAACTTGTACCCCCTTAGTGAAGATGAGATAGATTCTGATTTTGAAAATGACACATGGGCAATAGTTTCGGAAGGTGCAAATGAAAATTCTCGTGAACTTTATGAGTCTTCATCCTCGTCGTCGTCAGAGGAAGAATTAAATGTGCTTTATAAATTGAGGTCCTACGTTATGGGGACAACACCCAAGGAATCCAAGTCAAAGAAGAAACGCAAGGATGATTTAGTAGATGCTAATTTGAAATTCAAGTTTCTTACCATTGCTTTGGGTATTGCGATAATAGGTTTGAAACTAACGCCAAAATCACAACTGGCTATAGGACAATAAAGAGGAGAGAGAGACAGAGAGAGAGAGACAGAGAGAGAGAAAGATCTTAATGAAAGTATGTAATATCGTATAGTGTATCTCCGATATTTTTCTGCAATGAAAGGTCTTGGCAAAAGGAGAAGCGGATCTTTTTACATTTGTAGTTCCCGAGTACGTCCATAACTCGTGTACTGTGCAAACCCCTCTCTGCAAAAATGTGAGACACGGCAACAACTCCCTTGCACAAAGGGTGGGGTGGTGCAAACAATGCTTTGAACCCGGCTTTGTGGAACAAAAAAATCATCCCACTTTTCGCTTTTGTTGCAGTTTGTCGGTATCTCAGGGCACACAGAATGTTCAAGAAAGTTGTTTCCAGAGCTAAGCACGCTCTATGTTGTCTGTTATCAATAGTGACACCAAAGAGCAGTCAGTCGTGTATATGAAACGCCTGAGGATTCTCGTCATCGATGTTGCAGTCTTTGAACAGATTATATTATCTTTCGCCTTCCTTCATTGCAACCCATTTTTTTGTTTTCTTTGTCGTATGCGCCTTGGGAAATAAGGCAAATCCATGCTAGATTTGTAATGACATGATTTTATTGAAGGATTGGTTAAGACACCTGGAATGGCTTACATAACAATAGTAATTGCATATAAAAGCGATGCATTTCCCTTATTTTGGGCTCTTGTTTCGACTTGGTAGTTTTGAAAACTAGATCTTTTTCGTTAGAGAACATTACCTCGTTATTGATAGGCTGATTTATACTGAACTCCGTACTCGGAACTCAATTGGCAATTTTCTTTGTTTTGCATTCACAAGTTACTTACGCAAAAGAAGAGGACAGAGTCTGCCCCGCTATACACAAATACATACATATATATATATATATATATGAACCGACAAACTATGGCTCTACGAAACTACCTTTATGCCAAACATGATACCCATGTTGATATAAGTACCAGAATCAACAAAGTGGCAATACCAGAAGAAGCCAATCCAAGCCGCATGTCGTCATCAGCTGAATCCATAAGTCAACCTACAAGGTATGGACACTCGGTTCCGAAAAGTTTTCAACACCGCCACCCTCAAGACGACACTTTGCACCTTTCGCAAATGGTGAACAAAGTGGCTCAAGATTTGAATGACATTAGTATAGCTGGGAAAAAGTGTACCAAGCTGTGTTCCTCGTGCAAATGTGGCAAGGAAAATGGAGTTGGCAGTGACGAGTTGAATGGGACGATTAGCCCTCGTTTGGACGAGCCTAGCTTGAAAGTTGAAGTGGCTGAGAATGAAATGGACTTCACTAATGCTTTGTGATGTTTTTTTTTTTTTTTTTCTGTCTATGGGTTATTTTTAGTGAAAGCTGCTGGATGGCGATAATTTAGGTTAATATATAAGCAGTTGGTAATACGATTGCATTGTTTGGTTCGAGCTCTCTAAGTAATGTGGGTTATAGCTCTGGCAGCTCGTGCATAGTATGATTCCTGATGCCATTCTGTAGTGTTTAACACATCTCTGTCAAACTACGCTTCTGTTCTAGCTCTTCGGAGAACGCCTGTTCAAATTTTTGAAATAGTCTTGATGCTTCGGGGAACAGTTTGGCATTGGCTTGGAAAAAGGTTTCAGCTTTGGTGAATATGAACCTTTCTATTTCATTCTGGCTGTCAGCAAAGACATCGTTTGTATTGTCCTCTAAAACGTCTTCGCGTTGCGCTTCTTCGCCTTGCTCAAGTGGCGACGATTCATTTATTGTGTTTGACTCTGTTACGGTGTTGGAAATCACGTCTGGTACCGCAGCTGCGGGAACTGTATACTTGTTGGAAGGGTCATGGTTTTGCATTTCTTGAATGGGCTGTTCTTCCGGTACTACCGGACGCCGTCTCTTCAAACTCTTACCCGCTTTCGAATCACTGTTTGCTTCAGGGTTAAGCAAATCCAGCGTCGGCATTGTCAATGGGCGTTGCCGGAATAAACGACGTACATCATCGTGAAGGGGAAGTTCAGATAAGTGCGGAATCGGGTCGGATCTTGCAGAGTCAACCAGTAGATTGTTTCGTAGCTGTATTTCATCTGGGGTCTCGTGCACTGCCAAAGCATTTGACTTATTATTGACTACAGCACTTTTCTCTCTCGCGATCCGATGATTGGGCCATTGCAACAAGACCGGCTCGAAAATATCCAGTGAAATGTCTTCAGTAAGCTGACTGGCCACAGCAGTCTTGTCTGTTGCATTGTTTGTCGCTGGATTATCACTAGTTTCTGATTCCAATTCACGCCCATCTCCATCATCTATATCTCCAAGTTTTTGCAGTAGTGACCCCTTGTGAGACAGTGGGTTCCTCCTTAATCCATGCCTTTTCTTGAATTGATTTAACCATCCATGACTAAAACTGACCAATCTTTTAGGGTCGTCCACGCCATATTGGTGAGCATACACAGACCAGTGTTCTCGCAAAATCGGTTCCGAAATCGGCTCATTCTTTTCCAATCTAGTCAAAACTAGCGCATCCATGGCTCTGTTTATCTTTTCATATTTGAACCTTACTGTCCTTCGGCTGTTTTTGGAAATTTTGTACTCCTGTTGTGTAAAACTATGACGTAGATTGTCTTCACGTTTAAGCCATTCGCTAAGTGATGATTTTGAGATTGAAAAGTCCTTTTTGAACTTGTCAACTGTCTTTAGTTGAGAGTTCCCAGACGAATGGAAGTAGTCGAGTACTTGTATCTTCTGAGCAAGTGTCGCTCGCTCTTGTCTTGATGTCATTTGATCTATGTCACTCCATGTCACGTCTGAAACAGGAGATTCTTCTTATCGCGAAAAAAAAAAAAAAAAAAAAAAAAAAAAAAAAAAAAAAGAAGAAAAGAAAAGGGAGATTCGCCACAAAGGCTCACACAAATGAACGAAGTCAGTTTCGACTACGCTGAGGCTATCATGTTTTTACTATCTAGCTAAATAAACACAGCAACAGCTACACGTTTTCAACTTCACTTGGTGATTCCTCTAGTGAGATCCAGCACCCTTGCTGACTCTGTCCAAAACGGATTCGTAGGCAACTTCCGAAAAATCGGTACCTTGGACATCAGCGGCTACACCGTTCAAAGCTCTTCTCAATGAATCTTTGGATGAAGCGTAAACCATCTTGGATCTGACAGGTGCGGTGTCTGGTGACCAAGTGAAGAATACAATCTTAGATCTCTTACCTTCACCTCCACCAATTTCATACTCAAAGTCATAGACGGCGTATTTACACTCATTTTCTGGCAACTTTTCCAAAAAAGTGTCGTAATCCGATTCAGTGGAAGTTTCATCAACAACAATTTCGGTTTTGGCGTCGTTCAAGGTGTAGATTACAAACTTGTATTTCTTACCCAATTTCAAATCGTTGAAAGCAGTCAATGATTCATCAGCAACTTGAACTCTAGTAAGGAGCGGTTAGTACAAGGGTTACTATTGGAATTGAAGTTCGATTGAACATACCCTGATCTGGACTAATGTATAACGGTTAGTATTGGTTTCGTGGGCGAAAAATGAAATGTGCGGCGACCATGCTAGGGCGTGGGCGTATGCTTTCAATCAAGCACTTGTGCAACCTCCCCCCCTCCCCCCCTCCCTCCCGACTACCACCACCACCACCATTACCAATTGAAATGATTCAAAGCTGGAATACGTACCATATTCGATGAGATTTGTTATTTGTATATGTGTTTATTGGTTTGATTAACTCAATTGAAAGGTATACAATTGGGTGTCGGACTAAAGAAAAGTGAGATTTTTCGACCAAAAGCAAAAGAACGAGAAATAAAAAGTGGATTGATGGGTTCTCGATTTTTAATTTTTTGAAGTTGGGCTGGTTTACACGACCAATTATCTGTTACTTTGTTAAAAGTGACATTAGAGCAAAAGTATTAGGGGTGATATTGGAAAGAAATGTATCATGGTTTATTTGTGCTTAGTATTCTTGCCTCTGTGTTTTTTAAAGCAAACGGTGAGGTCTAAGAACTTTCTTAATTTTTCAGTTAGCAGAGGACAATATTTTTTCCCTGAGATTGTTGCAAAAACTTCGATGTAATTTTCCTGATTTAAAAAAGATATCTATTTCCGATTCGGTAGAGCAAACTTGGATAAACTGTACCTTTTTTTCAGTTATATCTTGTCCACCTGGTGATCAAAAAAAAAGTCCTAATCAACCTTTCTACAGGAAATTGAAAGTCTCGAATGTCAAACAATTCTTGCAATTCAGTAAGGAGAGGGCCCTTTTCTTATGAAAGCAAAAGTATGATATATTTCATCCGTAACTCAGCAGTTTCGTTCTTGTTTTGGACTTCCAAGAATACATCATCGATGTTCACTCAAATGTCATCATTGGCACCGTTTAATTCGTTGCAACAAGCTCGTGATAGTCTTAGGAGAATCTTCCAGCTTAGAATAAGTGCATAGAATCGGATAAGCTCCACTTGCAGTTCTCTAACGTAGACTTTTCGAGTAATCAAGCACTGTTTTCAACATTGGCGCCTCTTCCAAACAACAAATTTTGACGGTTTATATCGGTTTGGCGCAGTTGCCAAATATGCCTATTTACCCTTGATGCGATGACCGAGTGGTTAAGGTGAAGGATGCAGGTTCCTTTGGGCATTGCCCGCGCAGGTTCGAACCCTGCTCGCGTCGTTATCTTTTTTTTGTTTCTTTTTTTTCCCTCTCTTTTTCTCAACCTGCTGCTTCCTTAAGATGGTAACTACTCTGTGGCAAATCAAAAGTGAAGAATGATAAACCGAAGCTAACTCTGTCTCCTTCCCACAGAGAGCTTTATTTCTTTCGGCTGCGTTGTCTCAACCTCTCCACTTTGTTGCGTCTGTACAACTTTTGTGTGACGTCTTATTGCACCAATTTTTTTTCGCTTTTTAATTTTTTTTTTTTTTTTTTTTTTTTTTTTTTTTTTTTTTTTTTTTTTTTTNCACCCAGGCTCTACACTCTACATAGATGCTCCTTAGTTGAAACTTTTCTTTCTTAGTCGTCGTGTCGAGTGCTAGCCCTAACAAGGGGTCTTTTTGTTTTCGATTTCGGATTTCCATCTTGCTCCGGTTTTTTTTTTTTTTTTTTTTTTCCTCTTTTTTTTTTTTTTTTTTTTTTTTTTTTTTTTTTTTTTTTTTTTTTTGCTTTTTTGCATTCCGTGAAAATAGAACAAGAATCACAACTGCTTTACCGATTAAACAGTGTGTGTGTGTGTGTGTGTGTGTGTGTTTACTCAATGGAGGACTTATATGAGATACTAGAGGTAAGTTCCAGTGCCACTGATGTTGAAATCAAAAAGGCATTTAGGAAGCTTGCCCTAAAGTATCACCCCGACAAAGCATCGGAAGAGGATCGGGAGGAGAATGAAATCCATTTCAAGAAGGTTTCATTTGCTTATGAAATCTTGATTGACGAGGAAAAACGTCAACATTATGATCTCTATGGCACTACTGACGGAAACACAGGACCCAATCCTTACGAATTCAACGGGAACCCTTTTGAGCAGTTTTATGGGGGAGGAAATTACAATGGATACGAGGGCAACGATTTTTACGACTTTTTCAATGGAATGAATGGGAACCAATCCAATCAACACAATAGCAGGCGAACAGAAGATGCTGTTTTAAATGTGGAAGTGACTTTAGAAGATCTTTATATTGGAAAAGTGATACGGTCAACGTCGACTCGAAATATCATTTGTACACAATGCAAAGGAAGTGGTGTCAAATCAGCTAGTGCTGTGAGTAAAACGTGTGGGATTTGTCATGGAGAGGGATACACGAGAAAGATAAAACGGGTTGCTCCAGGATTAGTGGCGCAGGAATATGTTGATTGTACTACATGTAACACAAGTGGTAAGATATACCGTACCAAAGATAGATGCAAATTGTGCAAAGGGACAAGGGTCTGTGAAGAAACCAAGATATTGGAGTTTGAGATACCAAAGGGATCTCCAAGTGAAGGGTCTGTGGTCAAGAGAGGTGAAAGTGATGAATACCCCGGTAAAATTGCCGGTGATATTATTTTGAAATATACTTGTAAAAAGCATGACGTGTTTGAAAGGAAAGGAGACGACCTATATATGGATCTTCATATCCCTTTGGCAGACGCACTCACTGGGTTCTCAAAATTGGTGACTGCACATTTGGACGGACGAGGCGTCAAGGTGGTGACTCCAAAGGGGAAAGTAATCAAACCAGGAGACTACATAAAGCTTACTGGTGAAGGTATGCCTAAATTGGCAGAAAAGCGGTCGTGGTTTTCTAGAAGTGACGGTAGAGGTGACTTGTACATACGTGTGCAAATTGAATTTCCGACCGACAATTGGTACCTCGAAAAGAATGATTTATTGACAATAAAGAATATTTTGCCTACTCAGCTCAAGGCAAACACCACTCCACCTGTATCAGTACCAGAAACAAATGTTGAATTGTTTACGGATTTCTCAATAGTGCTGTCACTGGATCTACCAGATTACAATGACATGAGAAACTCAAACGATCATACACATCATGAAGAGGGTCCCCAATGCACTCAACAATAATGGAACATACCCAAACAAGAGTCGAATTATTCAGCTTAAGTAGCAGTCTACACTTTGGTACCATTACTAATAGACATTTACATAGCATTAAAATCTGTATATAGTCATTTCAACTTAACAAGTTTCTCAAATCCTCATCATTCAATCCATAGTCTTCGTCTCCGTTCCTATCAATGGTCATATTAGCCTCGAGCTCAGCATCATCACCAGTACCGTCGTCAAAGTCCAAATCCAAATTCAACTCACCGTCGTTATGCACGGAATGTTTAAGCTCATGACTGTCATTTGGAGTTGAAAAGTACTGAAGCTCATAATCATTGAATGACATGAGTGAGTCAGTATCCTTTTTGCTCTGGGCTTGTGGAATAAATTCTATTTCATCTTGCCAGTGTTGCCCAACCAAAGCATCAATGGAGTGACTTCTGACTGTTTGCTTTATCGGATCAACATTGTTTCTTGTTATATCTTGGTTTGCAATATGTCTTGCATTCAATGTTTCAGTTCTATCCGAGAGCGTGCCTTCAATATTGCTTATTAGTTCGTGCTTCAGTGCTACTTCAGATTTGACCAACGAGTCCGTTTGAAACAATTTAGTCTTTTTAGGTGAAAGTAGTTTAGGACGCGATAGTTCATCCAAGCTATGTCTCTTTCTCATCCGACGATCAGATCTTGTTACATTGATGGGACTCAAATTAACCTCTTTCTCCCTGACTTTCGTGCCAGCCCCATGCAATTGAGCTGATTGATCATGTTCTTGGTAAACGGGTACAGACTGGAATCCCAAACTCGAGTTTGATTTGACCAAACTTGGTGGTTTGTTGTTTGACCTAAACGAGTCTAGACTATTGACAGTGGATTTTGACCTGTTCAACTCAAATGTGTTTGTGTTTTGGTTTTTACCGCCCAATGGGACACGTTTAAACTTCAGCGTAGCCCTGAAGTTAGAGCCTTTGTTTGATACGTGAGTATTCTCATTCTGTGAGTCCTTGTTGAATGGCTTGATTGAGGTTTTATTCTCAGAATCATCAAATACACGATTCGACATTACGTGAGTGGAAACGAAATGTACAGATTGTAGTGTGTTTGAATTTAAAGCTTTGTTGTACTGATCGGCACAGTGCACACAGAGTTTATGCTGTGTAAGACACTTTAATGAACAACTGGTCAAGTATCAAGGAACAGTTGTGTTGTTGCTTCTTTCTGTTTTCTGTTTTCTGTTTTCACTCTGTTTACATTTTTCGTGTCTTTTCCCCTTTCTGTGCTGTCGTTACCTAATATATTACATAATACAACCATTTTATGAGAGAATGAGACAGAACAGAGGCACTTAGCATTGCGCAAAAGGCTTTTGAGAGAGACGCATCCCTTTACTTTGCAGCACTTGATTCCATCACATAGGTTTGGCTGGTTAACGACTGAGCGATGGCTTTCGAACCCCAGTTTATGGCAGTGATAGCCAACGCCAACTACAGTGTTTCCTTTTGGATCTACTTTGTCGATTGGATACTTTCCTTGGTTTTGGGGCTTGGTTTCGTATTCTATTTCCACAAACTTCTCGGATTCCTAGTTACACTAGTATGCAAGCTTGTGTTGTGGAATATCTATGGAGTCAGAGTTCACATCGATGCATTCAAATTATCGCCCCTTGGAGGTCGACTATTTATGAAGAATTTGACAATAGTGACCGCAGATACCACTGTGTCAATTTTAAACATCACATTCACTTGGAGATACTGGATATCTTCGCTAACCAGATTATCAGGATTTTACTGGGACACTGACCGCGAAACGGGAGGAGTTTCCCAGCGACAGAATGACAAGCTGCCGTGCAGATTTGTTGTTCACGTAGAGGGCATGGAAATTTTCACATATAACAAGACGGCTGCATACGATGGTATAATGGATATTTTGAGTGGAAAAACGAACAAAGAGAAGGAGACTCTGGAAAAACACCACAACCAGCAAAAGACTGAAGACAACAACGAACCAGAGAGGAAATCGAGCTCCTTTTCTGTCAACTCTGACTTGCGTGGTCAAAGTGACGAGAAAGTGCTGAGCGAAACGCAGAGCGAACCATCAGAGGCTTCTAATGAACGGGAGAAACGGACGATTCCTCTTTTGCTACAAATTTTGCCCATTGATTTCAGGATAAAGAAAGGTGCGTTTGTGGTTGGAAACGTGACTACACCATCTATTTTGATGGCATCATTTAAGTATGGAAGAGGGTTGTTGGACATTACTAAAGCGCCAAACCCGGCGGACCATTATAGACTTTTGAACGACTTTCAGTTTGATGATTTTCAAATCTGGATTAGACCAAACATTGGATTTGAAAAATATAGGTATGGGAGGGAAGATCATGAGAAAGTTGGTGCAAACGGCGGAAGATTGGAAAACTTGCGCGATATCAAGTCATACAAGCTTTGGTACAAGTTTTTAATTGCAAGCAAACGAATTGGCCGGAAAGTTCAAGAGAAAGTTTTTAAGAAATATCCTTCAAACGAGTATAGCCCGAATGAGCAGCTTGACTGGAAAGGGTTGCGAAGGTATGTGGGCGACTCAGAGGATCCGATAATGGCAGCGCTCATCACTAGTGATGAACAATATGCAAAATACAGTTTGGTTCTCGACTCAACTCTGACTAGGTTTGTTTATTTTTACGACTCACCAGGAATACAATCCTCAAGTCCGCGATGTTTGGAGGGAGATGCACCGGAGCTGGGTCTAGAAATTGAAATCTCTTTTGGCACAATTCATTACGGCCCTTGGGCCGATAGACAAAGGATCCCGCTTCAAAATATGCTATTTCCGTCACTCGCAAGAGATTCGCGTCCTACAGCGGACTTTTTAAAGACTGGCGTGAAAAGAGACTATGAAGGATTCAAGGTGACTGTTATAGTAAGAGACGAATTAGTAGTTCGTATACCCACGAGGGAAGCTAGCAAAGACAAGGAGTTTTTGAAACTAAATCCGAATCAGCAACTTAATCAAAAGACCACGCGACCTTTTGGATGGCTCGAACTCAAAGTTGCCGAAGGCTCAAATATGGGACTGTTTACTTCCTTTGTATCGAATTTGGAGAAGGGGTTTCCAAATAAACTTAAAGTGAACCTTAGTAACCCAGAAATAAGGACCTCGGTCAATCATGATATGTTGTACTCTGCGGATTCACACGAAATAAATGCCGACATTGCCCTTCCGTTGCAATGGAATGGTAAGTGTACGTGGTCCTTCAACCAAATCAGTTTGAACCCTCGTCTTTTTTTACTAAGAGAACATCTTTTCTTGTTGTCGGATCTATTCACTGACTTTGCTTCGGGAGAGCCACAACCGTACGAATATTTCAGACCGTTTTTGTACAGAATAAATTGGAAGTTGGTCAACTACGAGCTATTTTTGAATGTGAATGATTCAAACATCATTAATAACCCCTTGGATTTCAACAATAACAAGTATTTATCACTTCAAGGAGAGGAGCTTAATGTGAATGCGTCATTGCCATTGAATGGAACCAGCACCAAAAAAACCACCATTTCGTATTCTTTGGACACACCTCACTTTGATTTAATCCTCGATACTCCTCCGTGGCACACAGTGAACACCTTTTTAAAAGGGTCTAATGTCGTTGGAAAGAGTGGCCCATTTCTGATTCTGGGTGACTACACATTCTACAGCGCCGTTGAGGTAAACACGTCAAACTGTATTGAGATTGATTGTTTTAGTGAAGATTTGTCGTTGAAGTTTTATGGGTTTGTGATACGTTATTTGTTCACAGTGAAGGACAACTATTTTGGGGAACATGTCCATTTCAAAACGTTTGAGGAGTATAACTATGGTGGTAGTGTGGGGTCAGAATCTGTGAATGAATCACAATCCCAAGGTGACTCGACAGCAGACGATAAAGATTTTTGGAAGATGATCAAGACTGAAAATGATGTCGATGTACTTGTTAAGTTTCAAGTTCGTAATGGTCTCATGTTTCTTCCACGTAATTTGTACAGCTGTTCTAGTCATATTGCACTACACTTTGATACTTTGGATGTTGACATGCGGTTTTGCAACTACTATATGGATATGCAAGTTGATTTTGGTCCCATCTCTGGAGTCATGAATTCCGCAGATGAAGAGGCGGCAGATATGATGGATGTTTCAAAATATTTTGGCAAGCATTTGATGGATGGTGTTGATATGCAAGTGGATGGATTTACAGTTCATTCGCATAGAATGTTCAGTGCTCCCCCCGAAGAGATTACATTTTGGTGCAAGTGGGATTTTTGTTTTGGTGACTGGATTATTGACAGCAGTCCTTATTTCTTGCAATATGTGATGCTGGGTCTATTGAACTTTGGTGTCGGATTCAAGGATCAGGCGAATGCATTGGATGAGTTGTTTCCTCCCGCTTTCGATGCTGCAAACTTTTCAATCAGATTCACAAAATTCATTTTAAAGTTGAATCCTGATCCAACTTCTTTTGTTGAGGTAGTGTTGGATGACATTTTGTTGTCTTTTAATGATGTACCTAACATGCGGTACTCCAGCAAGATGGTGGTATCTGTGCCTGAAATATATGTTAAAATTGTCGAGATTGATGATAGAGCAAAAGAGAAAATAGTGGCGGCGATCCACACTTCACTCGTATTCACAAACATATGCCAAAAGGCTGACATGCTTGAATTGAGAGAAGCACGGGAGTACCATGTGAGGGATGGCGATGCACCTTTCCATAGAGCACCATTCATATTATTTGAGGAGTATAGAGATGCGTTTTACAAGAGGAACAAGGGCTGTCTATTAACAAGTATGTCTCTTCCAAAAGTTCACCTACCACTCACAGAGGCCACAATGGATAGATGGTTACCACCAAAGGGTCTGGCTTCTTCCATCAGTTCCGATCTGTCGTCTTTCGCCACTTCAAGTGCGTTGTCGGATGTGGAATTACCAACTGTAAACTACCGAGACGAGGACTTTTGCCCTAATTACTCAGTAGATCCTGATACCGAGTACGATAATTTCATTCTTGAGATTGGGGATGTTAAAGGCTTTGTAAATCCCGCTTTTTTGCCAGTGGTTTACAAAGTCGCTCAATTATATGAGGACCTCGATTTGGAGTCTATAATGGACGAGGTGGGTGCCAAGACCATAAAAGTGTTACAAAATCTTATGCGCTCCTCAAAGGAAGTCAAGAATTTACGTGTTGTGAATCGTAACACCACTATAGGCCTCGGCGAACACATTCTTGATAGAGCTGAGGACTTGGAAACATTAAACCATGAAGGGAATAGCATTACACTCAATGCTGCCGACATATCCTTGGTTATGTCGAGCAGAACAGAACTCACAACTAAATCAGGGCAAATTGAGCTAGAGGAAAGCACTTCGATTGCGTACCATGTGGGCCTTTTATCGACAAGTTTCCAGCAAGTAAAGAAACAACGATTGGCGTTAGTTTTGAACTTACAGGATGTTGAAGGTTGGTTGGATAAGAGCAAAGAATTTGCTACTGGCGCAACTCTGTATGACTATTTGGATGGTGATTTTGATATCGAACAGGCGCAATGGCTAGTGGACTTTCTTGCAAATTTTAGTCAAAGCTTCAAGAACAAATTACAAGTGTTTGAAAACTTGCAAAGTAAGCGGGAAACACATGCCAACTTGGTTTATGCTTTGACCGTTGCTTCATCAAAGTATGCCATTGATAATGACCCAGATGTTCTTACACGCCCAGCCTATTTCTTGCGGTTGAAATCAGAACACATTCGATTTTTCGATGGTTGGAAAGTAGTTGCACGTCTTCAACATATTTTACGCACTTTGCCCAAATCGTGGATTGAAGAAACTACAGCGCAATTCAAAGCACACACCTACCAGCTTCCAAGTGATGCATTCGAGCAGGTTTTGGATATATTTTCAGGATGGAGAGCATGGGAGGCCAACCAGCAGCAAAGGCTATACATGTTTAAGCGAATTTTTGGAAAAGAGATTCAAACCGTTGCGAAAAGGGTCGCCAAGTATGATTTTATGGGAATTTCAACAAATATCAAAAGTGGCAGTCGTAAGGACCCAACTTTCATCAATCTTGATGAATTTGATATCAGTTTCAAAAGCACGCACGAGGAGTCGGATGGAGAGTCACCTGAAGTAGCCGAATTGGCTGTAAAATTGAACAATTACGAAGGCAGAATTACAACGGAAATTTTCGAACTTATCAAGAGTTTAGATTTAGAAAGTATCAATAAGGAGCAAGATTTGGGTATAAAAGAAAAGGCTCCCAAAGAGTCAAACGCGGAGGAGTTGGACGAGGCCCATTCAACATTGCGCTCTGAACCTCAGGATCAAAAGAGGTCCACAACTGTTGTGATTGATATCAAGACATTTGAACAAACAGTTTCGTTGGTGCATACTTCGGTGGGTATAAGATTGGACGGTGTATTTAGTCACGTCGAGTTGGGCAGTGTTTCAAAAGGACTGCTTTACGCGATTGAAGCCAACGAAGTGGATTTGAGGAGTTCAGTGGACTCGCGAGGGATTCTAATGCAGAAATTTTCAGAATTGCATCTTTTATTTGCGGAGTCCGACTCGGCTTTACACATTGATATAGAGCTAGACTCCTCGAGGACTCTAATATTTGACAAAAATGAGGAGGTCGAGAGTACACTACGCACGATTTTGGAAAATGACTATCCGTATGTGATGGAGTTTGTGAAGCACTTCGAAAAGGGATCGAAAGAAAAATATCCACAACGAAAACTGTCAAGGGCCCTTTCAGCTTCGATGAGGATGAACCAGATTATCTGGAATTTTGGTGTTCTCCAACCCCTCTATTTTTCGGGAGCAATTTTGAATTCATCTTTCAACGCATCTAAAGTGGATAACGTCTTGTCGACTAAGTTAAAAGTGGATAAACTTCGAAGCAATTTGGTTATCGATCACCGCAACATACTTGAGGTGAATGCTGCCGATTTTGCAGCTTCAGTTTCAAGTTGCGAGCTGGAAAAGGTTACAGCACTAACTACGAACGTGAATTTGGGCTATTTCAAAGTATTGATTCCCGATTTCAACAGAGGAGCTCTATTGGCCACAAAGGACAAGTCTTTACTCGAAAACAAAGTGGACAATATCATGGGATTATTCAAGGAAATTTCTTCAAGTGAAAAGTCTCCGTCAGAGCAATACCAAAACCCATCTCTTCTTTTCAAGTTGAGGTTCAAAAATGAATACTTTGAAGTTTCCACCATTGTTAAAAGGGCCACTGTTAGCTTAAGTTTGGAAGGATCGACTTTAAATTTGAGAAATGTTTCTGCTTCTCAACTCCTGAATGGATTTTTTACAAATAGCAAGGCTCAATTACATGGTGAAGTTGCATTCCCAGCCATAAGACTTACCTTGATGGAAAAAGGTATTCCTATTGGGTTGACGAATGTTTTAGCGCTTGGAATTTCTGCGAGACTTTTTAATGACATGGATACACCAGGCGACCGTCAAAACTTGCAAGTTGAGTCGCAATTTTTTAGAGTATGTTTGTCCGAACCAGTGGTGTTGTCTGCATTAACAGTGGTCGACGAGGTTATAAAATACCTACCTGAATCAAAACAAACGTCGCTAAAGGCCTCGGATTCAATCCAGCCAGGGAAAACTCAACGAAATACATTTGAACTGTGGATATACACCAACTTCTCAGCCTTCCAATTTTTATTCTACGATTTTTGCATTGGATGGCTATTCAATGATGAGTCGAAGGAGAACCCAGGGATTATTTTCGGAGCCGAAAAGTTCTTTGCGGCTACGGAAGAGAGTTTAGGAAAATTTACGTTGATGGGCTCTTATGTCTCTATTGCCAATGGGAATCAATCAACCAATTTCTACAGTACAGAATCGGAACAAGTACGGTTGAATAGAGCTTTCCTTCCAATGTTGCAATTGATATTTATTATCGAGAAGCAATCAAAAACGTCTAAACATTTAAGAATAACTTTACGAGGAGATGAAGTTGATGTGAAGTTCTTATCGACATCGGTTGGAAGTACGATTCAAAAGTCAGCCAGACAAGTGTCAAGAATTCAGAAAATTTTGGAGCGGAGAGCTACTACGCATCCTGTGGAAGAGAACCGGTCGAACGTGGAAAAGACAGGCAAACAACCTGGTGCTTACACGTCCTTCCAATCAATAGAGTTCAGCTCAACTTTTGCCGGTTCAAAAGTGTCAATCTTTAAATTGGAAGATGATGAGCAGGATAATACACCCGCTTTGTTTTTGCAAGCTCCTGCTTTTACGACAGCGGTCAAATTTACAAAGATGTCCGATTCAAAGAGCCAGGTGATGGGCGAGTTTGTGATATCGCAATCGGAGAACGTGTTATTACCCAGATGTGTCCCTGTATTTTTGGATTTGGCACATAGTACCAAGGATTTGATGCGTACCCCCAAGCCAAATAAAGAAAAAGTGGATGAGAATCCAAGCAACACAAACTTTATTGAAAGTTTGCTTCAAGAGATGGATATTCATTTTGGACTTCGGATTGACAAACAGTTCCTTACTCTCAGTTGCGAGCCTACAGCAAAAGTTGCGGCTGTTGTTGGACTAGAAGGTATCCAGGTTCAATTGAATACAGACAAGGGAAGGGATTCAAGTTTTACATTGTCATTGCTTTTGGACTGGGTTTCAGCTTCATTGCAACACGTGTACTCAAGGGAAATAAGTGCCTCGATGAAGGTGGAAAAAGTGCTATTACTGAGTAACTTCAAGTTTGGAGAAAAAAGTCAAAATGTCACCTCGGGGTGCATGACCACAGTAGATGGGTATATCAATGTGAAGCAGTATCAAGATGTTGACTTGTTTAAAGATATTTGGTTTCCGAAAAAGTTGTTTCAAATGTATGCAACGGAGAGTGAAGGGCATGCAGACCACGACGACAACCAGGATCAGGCTGCTGTTTCTGAATTGGCCCAAGACAAGAGTATTTCATCCAAATTCAAAGAAGTGTCTTCCACTTATGCGTTCCCCTGGATAGTTCTTTTCGTGGCAAACGCGATTAATCTTCAAGTGGACTTGGGTCAATCCTTGGGGGTTTTGAACTTGGCAATTGAAAATTTCTGGGCAGTGTCGAAAAAGAGTCTTGATTGGTCTCAGGATTTGAAAGCTGGAATTAGTACTGTGAGGTTGACTTCCGAGGGCCGGTTGGGTGGTTTCTTAACAGTGAGTGATATCAATTTGCACACAGCCATTAGTTGGAAACTCAAGGACGGTATTACTCTTGATGTGCCTTTGATTTTGTTGTCAGGAGGAATCAACAGGCTTGTTGCAAAAATAGCCTTTGATTACAACGTTGTGGCAATTGCTAATGTGGAATGTTTTTCTATGGATATTTATAACCGGAAGGGGGCAGTTGCTTTAGCTAAAGATCACTTATTTGTTACTACAAAGTTCAACGTTGCCGAGCTCTACATGACTTCATTAACGACATCCAACTTTGTTGATATAAGCAACACCATATCACGTATGATCCAGGATAATCGAAGATCGTACAAGGAAACATTGAGGGATTCGAGTAGAGACGATGTTGTTAATAAAAAAATGCCACCAAAGTTGTCTTCAACTGATGCCATCCTCAAAACAATAAAGAAATTGCAGACAAAAATCCACGTTTCGGCTGGGAAGTTATTGGTTCATGTATACCCTTCGTCGATGGATAATTCCAAAGTGTTGGTGATAAACTTGGATGAATCGAGAATCAAGTTTCAGCAAAATGAGTACAGTCACGGAGTGGCAAATGATATGGATGTAAAGTTTAACGATTTGAAAGTTTCCTTATCTACTGTTCCTGCCGTGGATGAATCTTTTATTGAAAAGTGTACTGTTGATGAGTTTGTTGAAGTAGCGCACAGGGCTAAAGGTGGAAGTATATTTGTGTTTCCGTCGTTTAGAATATCCATGCGGACTTTCCAAAAGGATGGAACCAATGTCATTGAATACTACTACCAGTCCACATTCAGTGGAACTGTTGACATAAGGTGGAATTTAGGGTCAGTCAATTTTATCCGAGAAATGTTCTCAATACATTCGAATGCATTGGCTTCTCGATTGGAGTATCGACACAAGATGAGAACGCTTGATGATATTGAGAATTCAAAGTCTATCTTGAAACAGCAATTGAATGACGAGGATCCGACAAAGGATATCGATGAAGCAATTCAAGGCAGACTCGAAAAAGCTGAAAACATGTCAAAATTCCAATATGTTGCCTTGGCACCGCCAATTATTGAAGCCCCGCAACTTAAAGAGTTGGGAAACGCCACCCCACCATTGGAGTGGTTTGGATTGCATAGAGACAAATTTCCCAACTTTACACACGAATTGGCTATTGTGAACTTGCAAAAGTTGGTTCATGAGATTGAGGTGCGGTATTCCAAAACCTTGGGAAAAGCTTAAACGGGACGTGAACTGGATACAATCTCTACATGTTTAGTTATGAGAAATGATACATTGTTTATATAAATGCAACCCTCTTTTCTATATACAGATTATCAAAAAAGAAAAAGAAAGAAAGGGTGCCCTTAACTAGTGAGTCAAATACCATCTACCCTTTGCTTTTCTTCTGCTGAGAACTTTCTGACCGCCTTTGGTCCTCAACCTGGCGAGAAATCCAAACTTTCTTTTCCTCTTTAATGTAGAGGGCTGGTAGGTGTTACCTCGTGACTTGAATCTCTTTTGCATAAGTCCCAAAATCGATTGCATTGGCGATAGGCTTGGGCTTTGAAATGAAAAATTGGTGATACCGGTGGAGGAAGGGTTAAATGCTTTGTTGAATGCATTTGTCTGAAATTTGAGTATGGTATTTAGCTGAGGCTTCAAAATGTGCTGGAACATTGTATGCAGATAATAATAAGTATGTGTATATACCTCGTGGACAAGGTTGGTGGTTGTTCCGTTGATACAATTTTCCAATTTCTTTTTTTTTTTTTTTTTTTTTTTTTTTTTTTTTTTTTTTTTTTTTTTTTTTTTTTGTTTTACATCACCTTTCTTGGGTTCGCACGCAGTAAGAGTTCATCTTTTCCTTCTCATCTCATACTCAAACTTTAAATCAGATCCAGCTGTAATCACCTGTCTCTCGAGAGCCATACCACAACTTTTCAAACATCACATTACATTCCAGACAATGGCATTAAATCAAAGAAACAGAAGAGCCATTCCATCGACGCTAAACACTCCCACGGCGGTTAATGTGAACACAGTCTCAAGTATAACTCAGGAACAAGCAGAACAAATCCTCACACAATTCATAGATGCCAGTGAACACAACAGGAATCCATTAAACTTGAAAGACCAGGACCAGAAGACTGGGTTTTCAAGCAATAGCGAAACAATAGCAGTTGCCTCGCAGTTAAAGAGGATACAAAGAAACTTGAGAGGATTGCCACCATTATCCACACTGGAAGCTCAAGAATCAACTACGAACGGTGGTGAAGAATCTAATGAATAGAGTATGCAGAAGATTTTAGAGGAGTCAAGAGGAGAGGGGAAGGGTGGGAGTATGGGTATGGGAAAGACGGTTCTATATCTATACGAGGTGGTAGCGGGTGAAGTTGTTGGTAGTGTATAATGGCTAGAAACTCTAATGTGCGATTTGTATGTGCATTTTGTCCATTATTATTATTTATTTTTTTTTTTTTTCCCTTTGTTTACATTTTTGTAGAGGATTGAAATTGGTTGTAAAAACACGTCTTTGATTGTATTACTCTTGCACTGTTGACAAAGGTATCCCAGTTACTCGAGTTTATAAGAAAAGACATACATTCAGTGCCATGAAAAGAAAGAGAAACGTTGTTTTGGATGAAGACGAGGAAAACACGTTTATAAATAACAGTGACTACGATGATAAGGAACACAACGATTTGGCACCTGCTCAAGTTCAACAGAGTCATGACACCACTGCAGAAAACTCCAAGCACCATGCCACAGACGACGGGTTGAGCAGCGACGTTGGAGAAGAGCCGGACCAACTGGAATGGGAACGGGAAAAGCATACTGAAGAGTGGAAAGTACCAAAATCTCATCATCCTATAGGTGGCATTGACATAGAGAAAAGTAATTCCGAAGGCGACAGTGACCGCAACAGTGACCACAACAGTGACCACAACAGTGACCGCAACAGTGACCGCAACAGTGACTCTGCTTTCCAACCCGAGGTGACTTTGCAAGATGCCAAACGCAAACCAGAAGCTGATGGCTTCCTTGGCACTGACAATAAAGCGTCGTTCATTCCGAAAACGCCAACAGAGCAAGCTCTCCCACCACAATCTCAAGAATCTCGAAATGGAGATGTACCCAGATTGGTAATCAACAAGTTAATACTCACAAACTTCAAATCTTATGCAGGGGAACAAGTTATTGGACCATTCCACTCGTCATTTTCATCGGTTGTGGGCCCCAATGGAAGCGGCAAATCAAACGTCATTGACGCGATGCTTTTCGTATTCGGATTCAAGGCAAACAAAATGAGACAAGGCAAAATTTCCGAATTGATTCACAATTCTGGGAATGAAAGACCGGACTTTTGCCAAGTCGACATACATTTCCAAATGGTTCTTGATGACCCCAAATCGCAGCAGTTGTCACAAGTGGTTCCTGATTCCGGGTTGGTTATTTCAAGAAAAGCTTTCCAGAATAACCAGTCAATGTACTACATAGATGGCAAAAAAAGCAATTATACTGATGTGACTGCATTACTCAGGGGTAAAGGTATCGACTTGGACCACAAAAGGTTTTTGATTCTTCAGGGTGAGGTCGAGTCAATTGCGCAAATGAAGGCGAAAGCTGAAAAGGAAGGTGATGATGGGCTACTAGAGTATTTGGAGGACATCATTGGAACTACAAAATACAAGCAGTTGATTGAAGATAGTTTAGCAAGAATCGATGAGTTGAATACAGTATGTCAAGAAAAATCAGATAGGTTTCTGTTGGTGGAACAGGATAAAAATTTGCTTGATGAAAAAAAGGCAGAGGCATTAAAGTTCCTAGAATTGGAAAGAAAACTCAACAATTTCAAAAGTTTAAAGTTCCAAAGCAATATAAGTCATTTGAAAAGTAAGATGGAAGAGTATCTGAATGAAAAAAATGAGCTACAGAAGCAATTGGACGAGAAGAAGAAGGCCAATGAAGTAGTTTTGGAATACATTGAGGAGCAGTCTTTGAAACAACTGGATTGCAAGAAGGAGTTGAAAAAGACGTTGAATGTAATTGAGGGTTTAAATAAACAAAAAAGGGACCTAGTGAAGCAAAATGTGTCACTTGAAGAGAAATCCAAAAACTTTGATACTAAACTAAAAAAGCTACAGAAAACAATAAATGCACTGAATCACGCATTGCAAAACACAAATCACAGTTTGTCCAGTTATTCAAATTCTTCTGAACAGTACAAAGCCGATATGGAGAGACTAGAAACTTCATTAAGAGAGGAAGAGGATCGATTGACCAAGATTCGTGAAAAAATGGCCGAAAAGACTACCGGCTTTACAAAGCGTATTGAAGAATTGCAAGTCAAACTAGAACCTTGGACATCCAAATTGAAGAACAATGAGAACGAGATAGAGTTGATCAAGTCTAATATCACTATTCTCGAAGATCAACTGAACAATACAAAAAAGCAGTTGGAGGAAAACAAGGAGAAATTGACGTCCATCAAGCTTGAAGGTAAACACAAGGAACAAGAATGCCGAGAAAAGGAAGAAAAATTGGAGACGATTGAAGAGCAAATATCCTTGGGGGAGGAGCAAACAAATTCAATGAAGCTGAAGCTAGACAAGATGAAACATCACATTGCAAAGGCAAAGAACAAGTACCATGATTCTGCCCAAGCATTCCAAAGTAAACAAAATCAGAGCACCGTTTTGGCAGCACTAACGAAATTGGGCAAATCTGGTCGAATCGAAGGGTTTTACGGCAAGTTAGGGGACCTTGGAACAATTGACGATAAATACGATATTGCTGTCTCCACTGCTGCCCCTGGATTGGATTCTATGGTGGTTGAGACCGTTGAAACGGCTCAAGCTTGCATTGATTATTTGAGAAAGAACAAGCTTGGCTATGCCAACTTTATATGTTTGAACAAGTTACGGACTTATGACTTGTCTCCCATCTCAGTACCTGGAGATCCATCCAAGATCAAACGGCTTTTCGATTTGATCGATCCTATCAACCCTAAATTTGCACCCGCATTTTTCAGTAAAATGTTCAACACGCTTGTAGCTCCTGACTTGAATGAAGCGAAAAAGGTAGCATACGGTGCAAGAAGATGGAAATGTGTCACTTTAGATGGGAAGTTGATTGATATAGCAGGAACCATGTCAGGAGGAGGTAATCAGATTATGAAAGGGTCTATGCGTCTCAAGTCAGCCAACTCGCTCGACAGTGGCGATTTTAACGAAGAGAGTTTGGAGCAGGCAAGGCAAGACATAGAGGAGATGGAAAAAGAGTTTGAAAGACAGCTGTCAAAGTACAACGAGGCTATAGCTGCTTTGAACAAGGTCAGAGAGTTGCAGCCTGAGACGAGGCTCTCGCTTGACAAACTTAAATTGGATATCGCTGGGTTGGCATCCGAGATGAAGGATGTATCTCAAATATGCAAGAGCTTGGTTGCCGAGCAAAGAGAAATGGAAGCCCACAATCCTTTTGAGGATCAGATACAGGAGAAGAGAACTGAATTGGAGAAACTTGAAGCTGTTAGAGCCCAATTGAAAACGGAGATGTCTGATTATGAGCAGGAGATAGCCACCTACGAGCAAAAGATTATGGAAGCTGGTGGTGTTGATTTGAAAGTTCAAAACTCCAAGGTTGAATCGATTAAGCAACAAATAGCAATTATAAATGACAAGACCAGTGGTGACCGAATTGCATTGAAGAAATTGGAGAGCGATGTAAAGCGGCATACAAGGATTATCGAGGATTCAAAGGCTGCTCAAGCGAAGTTAGAAGCCGACCATAAAGATGTTAAAGAAGCGCAACGAGAAATAGAAACTCAAGTCAAAGGTTTAGATGACAAGTTGCATGCACTTGATCAGCAGAAACAAGATCAGGAAGAGCAACTTGAAGTTATGCGCGTTGAGATAGAAGAAAAACAGGAGGAGCTCTCTGGATTCAAGCTGTTTGAAGTTGACATTTTGAACAAGTTGGAGAAGGTTAGTCATACTTTGAAGAAGATTACACATTCGATTGAACAGAATGAGCTGAGCTTAGACGCTTTGGTTGTTCGAGACGTGATGCCATACATTTACTGGCTCGACGAAGAGGAGCAGAGTAAGTACAATTCGTCCGTTATTGAACGATTGAGTGATTCGGAACTCGAAGACGTTGATTTGGATGGTGTTAACTCTGAAATAGAAGAATTGGAAAAGTACATGTCGACGGTTCAGGTCGACATTGAAATGCTTAAAGAGTATGGAAGCAAGATTGCTGAATACACAGAACGGAAAGACGATTTGAATCGTGCTGTTGAGGAGCGAGATGAAAAACGTGATTATTGCGAGGATTTGAAGAAGAAGAGGTTAGACGAGTTTATGGATGGATTCAGTGCCATTTCCATGGCGTTGAAAGACATGTATCGAATGATCACGATGGGCGGCAATGCCGAATTGGAATTGGTGGATAGTTTGGATCCTTTTTCAGAGGGGATTTTGTTTAGTGTGATGCCGCCAAAGAAATCATGGAAAAATATCTCAAATCTATCTGGAGGAGAGAAGACGTTGAGTTCATTGGCATTGGTGTTTGCTCTTCACCTGTACAAGCCTACCCCGTTGTATGTCATGGATGAGATTGACGCTGCCTTGGATTTCCGAAATGTTTCGATTGTTGCCAATTATATCAAGGAACGGACAAAGAATGCACAGTTTGTGGTTATTTCGTTAAGGAATAATATGTTTGAATTGGCGCAGAAATTGATTGGAATTTACAAGGTCAACAACATGACGAGAAGTACACCAATTTTGAATATAGAGTTCAACAGTATAGAGTAGTTTAAGATGGGGGTTAGTATTTTTTTTTTGTTTTATTTATATTTTTATTTTTTTTTTTTTTTTGCAGACCTATATACTATCTAGGGTTATTTTCCACTGTGGATCAATTGCTGTAGCGAATCCCTTTTCCAGCTTCCTCGTTAAATAAAAGTACTTGTCCAACAAATCAATCATATCGATCATGTTCTTGCACTCATTAATCTCTTTGATGACTCGCCTAGGTATATCCATATTCTCCAAAAATTGAACGACATGGTACTGAGATAACTTGTACGGTAATCCATAACTTGTCGTCAAATGCATAAACATCTCCACGGCGCTCCAAGGAGTCTTGTTCAATCCCGTGAACAATGCTGGGTTTGCCAATACCCCTCGCGCCGACATGACTCCATCAACTCCAGTATATTCAGCAATGCGATTGCAATCTTCTAAAGTGAAGCAATCTCCGTTGGCTACCACCGGAACAGTTTTTATATGCTGGCGTAGTGTTTTAATTGCATCGAGATTTACTGGGACCGATGACCGCGTAGTTTTCGTGCGTCCATGGATGGTGATGATGTCAGTTCCAGCCTCCTCCACTAGCCTTACAAACTCAATCGTTTCATTTATATCATTGTGGATTCGTATCTTGGTGTCTATGCATATAGAGTCTCCGTATTTGGCTTTTGCAGTTGCAATCAAGTTCGCCACTAATTGAGGTTTGCTCATCAATGCTGCTCCTATACCTTCTCTAATCTGGTCACGTATGGGACATCCACAGTTTATCCCTATGGCATCAACATAGGGGTGAATCATTTCAATAAACTTCATAAAATCTTCAACATTGCTAACACCAACTTGGACAATAACGGGCTGGTCCCTTTCATTGGTAGTGAAATCCGAGTATCGTGCAACATCGTTCCTGACAAACTCTCGAGCCAAGATCATGGGGGTGTACACAATATCAACATTGTAGAATCTACACAATTCTCGAAATGGAAGCTTGGAGTACCGGACCATGGGGCCGGCTATATACGCCGGTCGATTTTGTTCTTGGCATTTCTTGATTACGTGGGTAGGACGATTACTTAGGGGTCGTTTTGGTAGTGGCGATGGCATGCTGTGGGGATTGTATTAAGATATACTGCGATAAAAAGTTAGTTTGTGAAAGATGTGAAAAAGTTTTTGACATCCATCAAGAGGTAGCGCCGCGGTGTGAGACATAACAAGAATTTTTACAGAAGCTTTCCAACTCTACTCTACTTTTATTGCAAAATTAATTAATACATAATACAGAATGCTAAAGAAAGTAACTATTATACAAAGTGTGTGAGAGACAACACAAAGCAAAATACGAAACTGCATTCTCGGTTACTCTCTACTCCTCTTCTGAACTCTCGGAGGATGCAGCCTCATCATCAGAGCTTTCTTCGTGTGCTATATTCATGAAACCATTATTGGCAAATTGTTGCTCAGCGGTTTGTCCATGACCTTGATCAAACAAGGCCAACTGTTGTCTCAAATGAGCCATTTCATCAAGGTTAGCTCCACCAGTCGCATTAGCACCGCCACTGGCCAACTTCTTCCTCTTGAATGACTTTTGCGATGCCTTTTCGCCAAATAAAAAGTCATAGAGCTTGAGCACAGTTGAGTCTCCCAATTGATCCATATCCAATTCAACTTCATCGTCATTGGTAATTTGGACATCGTCTTGGATGATCTTGATCAATGCATTCAACTTCTTGTCGGAAAGCGTGGGGACCGCTTCTGAAACCTGTTTCTTCATTTCATAAGTAACTACAGGTTGTGGTGGTGTGAGTTTTATTTGATTTTGGTGACTCGATGGCGTGTGCGAGTGTTCTCTAGACTTTTTCGATTTTGATCCGCGTTTGCCAGATTGTGACTTCTTTCTCTTGCGCCTTGCTGCTTGCTGCTCCTTCAATTTCTTCAAGTGCTCAGCCTTCATCTTGTCCAATTCCTCCTTCATTCTAATCAATTGGTTTTCCAAAAATTGAATTGCTGGAACTTCAGAAAGTACAGCCTCTGTGATTTCTTCCTCATCATCACTACTGAAATCATCGTCACTGGCTTCGGAATGTTGCGGTGTTGGTTCTGGAACAGGCTTATTTGCCCATTTCTTGTCAAAAATTGCCTCTAACCTGTGTCCCATCATATTGACATCAGTTCCTTCAGGATTAAAAGTATAGCAATTGCGAAACATCAACCTGATATCCTTCTCAAATTCGTCAGCATTTTCATACAAATTGTTGGTCAATTTGGATTGAATGGTACCGAGGTCCATTGGTTCCTTGATGACTTCATGGTAATTTGGAAGATTGAGAGCAACGGGGTCAACAGGTGCCAAAAAGGGGAAATTGTAATTGTAGTGTTTTTTTGACATCAACTCCTTTATGGTTTGGTTGCAAAACCTCAATTCGGCTGCAAACTTCTTCTTCCTTGGTCTTACGTCGTATGGCAACTCTTTTGATTTTGGTGGATGGATGGTTCTCTTTGGTCGTGCAGTTGCTACTGAGTCACTTCTTTGTCTGTAATTCGAATCAGCAACAACTTTCCTCCTACTGGTAATTGTCGCTTCATCAGAACCAGATTTCAGCTTGGGAATGAATGCTCCTTCAGGTAATTCCTTTGGTGGCACATTTAGCATGTGTTTTTCAAAATGAGCTTGTATATTTGTAGCCATTTTTGAAATGCCTGCAGCTTCTCCATTGAATTTTTTACAATTGTTAACCATCAAATTGAAATCATCAACCACTTGGGAAATGTCTTCATAGGCATTGGCAGTAATTTTGCGTTCGATAGTTGACAAGTCCATGGGGCGAGGAATGTAGTTGTAATAAAAGGGGACATTCAACTTTATTGTATCAACTGGTGCTAGAAATGGGACGGCATCTTTTAGGCGTTTTATGGCTTTTATTGTGTGTAATGCAAATTTGGATTGGTGAGGGGGCATAGGTTGGTCGGGTAGGTTGTTCATATCTGGTTCTGGTGCTGGCTTTGGTGCTGGCTCTGTGAATACTGGAAGTGGCGAATTTTGCTGTGGATGAGTTGTTGTAGCTCCATTTGCGGAGTCTTTTGATGCTTCTGGTTGCTCAACTTTCTGCTCTTCACTACTCTCAGCTGGCTTGCTGTCACTGTTATTATCATGAGTCTCCGTTGATCCATCCACCGAGGGTTGCGTATCGTTCTTCTCCTCAGTTTGAGCCACCTCCTCTTCACCCACTTTGAGCTTCTTCAGCTCTGGTTCTGTATTAACATTTTCAGATGTTTGCTCTCCACCATTTGCTTCATTGTCTTCCAATTTTCTCTTTTCCGGAGTTGGTGAAGGGTTTGGAGGTGAAAGTGGTTCATGAGATGGTACTTGTTGCGGTTGCTCTAGTGTAGAATCGTCAATGTTTCCCTCTTCAGTGTCTTCCTGATGTCCTTCTGTCTTTGTGGATTTGCCTTCTAGACTCGTTTCAGTATGCTCAATGTGATCTCCCAAGTGTTCATCGTGAAACTTCTCAGTCGAAGGTGTTTGAACCGGCGTGTTGGTAGCAGGCAGTATCTGTGACATGAGTTATGTGATATATGTGTAACGTGGCACACTCTTAAAGGCAAAAATTCAAGAATGAAATTCCAACAAAACGAAAATCAGCACACACAAAAAATTGAATTAGTGATAGCTAAGGAAGTATACACAGATAGGGAGTTATAGTGACTGGATGCACCTTGTGTGTGTGTGTGTGTGTGTAACGCTATATGGCGTAGATAAATGTATGTATGTATGTATGAATGTATATATATCTATGTATATAGATATATATATATATAAGTAAGTGTTGTGAAATGAAAATAAAATTAAGCCGCAGGCCGGAATAGGAGAGAGGTCGAAAAAAAAAAAAAGAAAAAAAAAATGCAAATTGTGACGAAGGAAATTGGTGTTCCTTTTATACTCACACACACTACCCCCTTCTACTCTTGTCTATTGATTACGTAATTAATAGCATATGTAGAGAAATAATCATTGTTTTAGCACTTTGTACACGACTTCTAAATAATGCCAAATTTATGTATATATATATATATATATATTTATATGTTGCAATGTATATATCGAATTAGATATAGTTTGGTCACAAATTTCTCTACGTCTGTATTAATCGAATAGAAGTATATGGTATTTGTATTTTAACGAATGGTTTCTGTGGCAGTGCTGGTGAGAAGTTTATAGCAAAGTAACTCATTTGTGTAGAAAATTCCACACAACACAACACACATAACACACAACACGCATTCTCTTCTCTTTTCTTTTCTTCTCTTATCAAAGAAAAAAGAAAAAGTTCAATCTAAAGTTATTGCCAAAGTACACGACTTCCTTGCTAAAAATCTTTGAGATGATTTATTACACTCACACTACACTTTACACGCAACCAGCCATTTATTTTTCTTTTTTTTTTTTTCAAAGTGAAGTCTTTCAATTTCTTTTTTTTTTTTCTAACACACACACACACACAAAAGAGCATATTCACACTTGTTTGATCACTCGAAATAGGATACTAAGCTTCTTTCAGTTCATTCCCTTTGCCACTTCCGTTTTGCAAGAAGGATGTTGGTCATGATTTTATTTTTTTGTTTTCTTTTTTTTTTTTGTAACTTTTCCGTTGCAGTTGTTAATTTCTCTCATTTTGTGCATTGAAAAATAAATTGCCACCCTGTCTTTGTTTCGTATAAGCTTTCTACTTATCACGAAATGGTTTATGCACCCTTGTAACTCAGCCTAGTGTTAACCATACACAGTCCTACAGCTTTTACAGACCTCCATCACTCGCAATAATAATATTACAGTATTTTAATTAAAAGGATATATATATATATATATATGTGTGTGTGTGTACAAGTAAAGTTTCTTCATTACAAATGTATCGTCAACAAGTCATTACTTGAAAATCCCTTATTACAACTAGGACATCTTCTCAACCTGGCAGCCAACCTTTCTTGCGTACAACTGGAACAGAAAACATGTCCACATACAGTTATTGCCGTGTCTTTCCAATTTTTCGTGCAAACGGAACATTTGGCAATTGATCTCAAAGCTTCCAATTGTTGTTGGTCTTCTTGTAACAATAGATTTGTATTGTTACTCTTGTACTTTTGTAATGTTGACTCTGTGTGGTTTAATTTTTGATTCAATTGGACAATAGTTACTGATTGGGATTTATTTGTATCCTTCAACTTGTCAAATTCCGATTGCAAGTCTTTCAACTTGGTGGTTAATCTATCAATCTCCTTTTGTAACGAATCTTTGACTATATTGACATTTTTGATTTCATCTTGTAAATTGAAATTCTCTTGCAACGAGTTTTCTTTGATGATTTTATAATCGGTCAAAGACTTGGTTAGGATTTCAATCTTGTTTAAATAGTTGGTTTCCAACTCACCCAAATTCTTGATCAATTCTTGTGACTTAGCCACTTGCTGTTTCAACACCTTGTTTTCATTGGTTAGTGAATCCTTTACCCTCATTGACGCAAAATATTTCTGATCTGCTTTGGTCTTTTCAATAGTCAATTTTTTCAAAAGATTTTCTTGATCAATAGTTGAATTCAACTTTTGAAACGTCAACTCCCTTGTTTGTTTAAAAGCTTGTTCGATTTCATCAATTTCCTGGCGTAGTAACTTTATCTTCTCATTTTCAGAGGAGCCAGCAGCAGCAGCAGCCGTCTCTTCACCAGAAGCTCTTCCATTTGCATCGGTAGCCGTAACCTTTCTCTCGTTTGTCAATTCGTCTATTCTCCTTGAATAAATTTCATTCAATTCCACCAACGATTTATTCGTCTTTTGATTTTGTAGTTGTGTAGTAAGAATAGTATTTTTTGCCAATAACTCATCCCTAGCTGTTCTAATTCTCACTAAATCCTGCTCACTCTTGCTCAATTGTTGTTTCAAACTATCATTTTCATTGACTAGATCCGTCTCCAACGTCTTCTTCAAATCAACTTGGTTCTTTTCCAACTCATTAATTTTGGCAATGTTGGCAGCATTCAATTTCTGACCTTTGCTAATTTGCTCTTGTAATGATTGGTTGTTTTTGAGCAATTTTTTGTAATACACATTATCTTCTAAATCAGCTTCATCAAGATTGTGCAACTTTGTTTCTAGAAAGTTGTACTTTTCTTCAAGACTTTGATTCTCATTTCGAAGAGTAGACAATTGTCGAAGTAATTCTTCATTCTCCAATTTCAATTGCTTAACCTCGGAATGTAGGTTATCCAATTCCTCTGTATCCACTGCTGTGGTACCATTCTGTTCATTCTCAGTTGGTGTAGCTTCTCCATTTGCCGCACTTGGTTTTACTTCACTGTTGCTTCCAGCTTCCTTGTTTGTCTGGCCTTCAGTTTTTATATTTTCACTATTGGGACTCTCTTTTCTACTATCATCAACACGCTTCAAAGTAATTGACTCATCTCTAGACGTCTTGTTTATCAAGTCAAGTAACTCTGATTGTAAAAGTTCCAATTTCTCCGTCAAAGACTGTTTATCCTTCGCTAGGATTTCATTCTGACTCTTAAGTAAACTCACTTGTTTCAACGATACCAAGTCTGAACTGGGTGACACTTTAGATGCAATGGCCTTTGACAACTTGGCCTTGATAGCTTCCAATTTTCCCTCAACTGCATCACCACTGCCACTGCCACTGCCACTGCCACTAACTTCCGACTCGTTAAAAGACACGAGAATGTTTTCATCTTCGCCTATCTCATCAAACAAGTTTATTATTTCTTCATACCACGACGTCAACACGCCAACAATATGCTTCTGTAGCTGCGATTCTTTGGCCAAAGTTTGTACCTCACTTTTCAAATGAAGTACTTGTTGCTTATACTGATTCATTTGTCGCCATATGGCTTCTTTTTTAAAGAAAATTACATCGGCTTGTGTTAATGGTCCCTCAGTGCTCAACTCATCAAGCGGTTTTAGCTTTTTTGCAGCAGGTGGATGCAGCAGGACCAGCAGCAGCGAAACAACTTCCAAAGACCTCTTTTTATCGTTTTCTGTGGCCATAGTTAATGCTAACGTAATGATGTTGGTTGTAAAAAACAAAAAAAAAAAAGTGTAGTAACTGTAAGGCCACCTCAAAGATGCGTTAGCGGTATTCAGTCAACGTGTGAGGATAGGCAGATATATATATATAAAGATATACGCACAAGTAAAATATCCACCAACCAATGATTAACTGAAACTGGAGTAATGTATTGGTGTATGTATTGGTGTTCAAGTCCTGTTGGAAAAGTCAAGTGGAAACGAAGCTTCTTTTTTTTTTTTTTTCTCTTCAGTTGTCTTGTCTTGTCTGTTAAAATGTGCACATTCACACTACCTCTCCCCTTGGCGTGTACTCTTGTGACACTTTAGATTTCTATAGCCTCACACTCACACTCACACACTCACACACTCACACAATAAACAAGAGCACATTGATAGCTCAACACATTCGTCCATGCTTCTTTCTTACTTTTGTAGTTTGTTTAACAGTTCGGTTCAGTGCGTCTCATTAAAGCATGCATTTGCTCTCCGATGCGGTTGTCAAAAATCCTTTCTAACTGCATAGGGTAAGATTATTTGCCATCATGTTAATGCATAAGCCTAGATAAATTAAGTCGCTGGATCAGAATACAGTGAAATGCTTGCTCATTGTCAGTGTCCACATGGTTCTTTTGCCACTTCCCTTCATCTTCTAAAGTACTGAATACCCGAATAGTAAACGTACCTCATAATCGATGCTCCTCTAATGAGGGAATTCTTTTTTCCTGGTTCTTTTCCGTTTTTTTTTTCTTTTTTCTTTTTTCTTTTTGCTTGCTACCAAAGTATGGCGATTAACCGCAGCGAACTTTGCAGATGGCAGTGAAAACGAAGCCTAGTGAAACATAGTTCGTGGTATTCCTGATATCAAGTCGTAAGCATGGCGAAGAAAAGACCTTTTGCCGAGCATACTTTTCAGCAGTCCGTCCCTCGGGGGTGTAAGTTTTTCTCTGGCTGCGTGGTCGCGTGAAATTTGGCACAAAATCCCTGTTATAAAAAAAAAGAAAAAAAAAAAAAAAATAAATCAAAATATGCCCAGGTCGGCAGCACCGCCATTGCTGATGCAACAACAATGCAACTACATACGAGCCTAGTGATTGCTATACTCTTCTTGGTGAGCTCATGCTTTGCCGTTAAGGACTATCTATTCAAGTCTTGTGAGCAGAATGGATTTTGCCATAGAAACAGGCACTATGCTAAGGAAATTACATTGGATCCTAATTTCATATCTCCATACAGTGTCAGTCCCGAAAGTATATCCATTGAAGACAGTATAATCAAAGGTATAGTTGTCAAACAGTTACCTCATATTGACACCAGTGTGGAATTTCCTTTTGAGGTCAGTATCCTTTGCAACAGCTTTCATTTCAAATTGGACGAAAACAGAGAATCCAAGCAGCAAGTTGTAAACCACCAAAGATACAATGAAACTGTTGAATGGGCATTCGTGGATGGTGTGGATACCAATAGAGAAGCAAAATTCAATAAAGATGAGAGATCAATTGATGTATCTTACGGACACAACAAGGTTACAATTGAGTTTCATCCGGTGAAGCTTACATTCTTTCACCGGGGTAATGAGGTATTGGTTGTCAATGACAAACAATTCCTAAACATAGAACACCAAAGATCTAAAGAGGACAATGAGGACAATGTCCTCCCCCAAGAAACCACCTTCAATATGTTTTCAGACAATTTTGCTGATTCGAAAAATGACAAACTTCCACTAGGCCCAGAGTCAATTGGCTTGGATTTTAACTTGAAGGGTTTCAGTAATTTATATGGCATTCCTGAACACGCAGACTCCTTGTTGTTAAAGGATACCCTGGGAAGAGAACCATATCGTTTGTATAATGTTGACATTTTCGAATATGAAACTGACTCGAGGCTACCCATGTACGGATCAATTCCATTATTGATGGCGGTGAATGCACATGAGGCTTTAGGAATCTTTTGGGTCAACAGCGCTGATTCGTATATTGATATTACGAGGCAACAAGACTCAACTGTCCACTGGATGTCAGAAAATGGGGTGTTGGAGTTTGTCATCATTATTGGGGAATCACCACAAAAGGTTAACGAGGAGTATGGAAAACTTACAGGAAACGTGCAGTTGCCAATATTGGCAAGTTTGGGGTATCATCAGTGTAGATGGAACTACAACGATATCAAAGACGTGTTGGAAGTCAGTTCCAAGTTTGATGAATTTGAAATTCCTTATGATACCATATGGTTGGATATCGAGTATGCTGACAACAAAAAGTATTTTACTTGGGATTCAGAAAATTTTGGTGATCCAGCACATATGTTAAAAGTGTTGAATCGTACAGGAAGAAACCTTGCGGTGATTATCGATCCTCATATTAAGACAGGATATGAAGTTAGTGATGCAATAGTTTCGCAAAATCTTGCCATGAAGAACAACGAGAACGAGGTTTATTATGGACATTGCTGGCCAGGTGAGTCTGTTTGGATAGATACTCTCAACCCCAAAAGTCAATCATTTTGGAACGAGTTGCACAAGACATTTATGATTTCAGACGAGCACAAAAATTTGTTTCTTTGGAATGACATGAATGAGCCGTCGGTATTCAATGGGCCAGAGACAAGTGCACCAAAGGACAACTTACACTATGGGCAATGGGAACACCGGTCGATACACAATCTTAATGGATTGACTTACCACGAAGCAACCTACAAGTCATTGATTGACAGGTTGCCAACGCAAAGACCATTCATTTTAACTCGTTCTTATTTTGCAGGTAGCCAGAGAACAGCTGCAATGTGGACAGGAGACAATATGTCCAAATGGGAGTATTTAAAAATATCCATTCCAATGGTGCTCACCTCAAACATTGTAGGTATGCCCTTTGCAGGCGCTGATGTTGGTGGCTTTTTTGGTAATCCCCTGGGCGAATTGCTTACCAGATGGTATCAAGCTGGAATCTGGTACCCGTTTTTCCGCGCACACGCTCACATAGACTCAAGGAGGAGAGAACCGTACTTGCTAGGGGACCCATTTAGATCTTATGTTAAAGACGCAATTAGGTTGAGGTATAAGTTGTTGCCTGTGTTTTATACGAGTTTTCATCAGGCGTCTTTAACTGGAGCTCCTGTTTTGAAACCAGTTTTCTACGATTATAAAGATCTGACAGATGACGGAGTTTATGATATCGAAGATGAGTTCTTTTTGGGAAACTCGGGCATTTTGGCTAAGCCAGTCACCGATGAGGGAGCTAAGCAAGTTTCCTTTGCTGCTCCAAAATTCTCGAACGAAAACTTTTTTGAGTTTACTAATGGGATAGTTAGTGGGAAAGTTTATCATGATCGTCTTTCAGCTGAATTGAGCGATGTTCCCATGTTGTTAAAAGGTGGATCTGTTGTGCCTATGAAGAATAGGTATAGGAGATCGTCGCGATTAATGAGGCACGACCCGTATACATTAGTTGTTGCGTTGGATAAAAACGGCCGCGCAACTGGCAACTTATACGTTGATGATGGCGAATCTTTGAATTCGGAGTACAAATTATTGACATTCATTGTTGACAAAGAGGGCATTTCGTTGTCTTCAACCGGTGACTATGCTTTCTCAGTCAGTATCGAGAAGATAATTATAGTTGGCGCAGATTTTGCGATTGATACAGTTAGTTCAGGAAGAGTAATCAGCGAGTCGGAAAAGATTACAATCGTCGATCCAAAAGAATTTCCAGTCAAGTTTGGTAAAGGGTCGTTGAGCCATGATGAGTTGTAAAGTAAGAGCGATAGGTTAGCTCAAGGAATTGCATTCAATCAGATCAGTCACTATTCAAAAATACAGTTGAGCATCTCATGGTGATATACTGGGGCTACACACACAGTTTGTCTTGTAGCTGTGGCAGTTGTAGAATATCTCTCGTATCTTTCTTCTAATTTCAATCGTCAGTGTTGTTACACAAAACACTCTTGTTTTTGCTTCGTTCTTTCTTCGTCGAACAAAACAAAAAAGAAAAAAAAAAAAAAAAAAACATTAGCCATACGACGAAATTGGTGTGCACACGGATCCAAAACCGTTTCAGTTTACATTTTAGTTTTGAGCTTGGAAACAAGACCAATCACCACATGATACACTGCTAACATCTCCCACTTGCACATCAACAAAGGTCATTACCAGATCCATTTCTTCACCTTGATGCAGAACTATTGAAGAGAACAAAACAACAACCCAAATTCCCTACTTGACATTTACACTTTTGATCTTAAAACTCACTACTAATATGAGTTCACTCGACAAGCCCATTGCCCCGAACTCGACCCTCGCAACGACAGCAAGCTCAAACCAGAGCGGGTCTAACGACTTTGTCAAGAAGCTATTTTTGATGTTGCAGGAAGACGACTACAAGGACGTTGTTAGATGGACGCAGAGTGGTGATAGCTTTGTTGTCATAAATACAAACAAGTTCACCAAAGATATACTACCACGCCATTTCAAACATTCCAATTTTGCAAGTTTTGTACGACAGTTGAACAAGTATGACTTTCATAAAGTGAAGATCCCCAACGAGGCGAAACTGACGTATCCGTACGGCGAAGATGCTTGGGAGTTTAAGCATCCGGATTTCAAAATGAATGATCGCGTCTCCTTGGAAAACATCAAGCGAAAGGGTCCTTCGAGTAAAAAGTTTACCCGACAAGTTCCTAACGGGAACAAGACTAGTTCAAGAGCCAACGCAGCAGGTATCATCAAGCACGAAGAACTGAGAGAGGCCAGTGAAAGCGGAGCAAAGGGTGCAAGCGCAGCAGAAGCGGCTGACGAAATTGATGTCGGGTACTACAATGAGCGCATTAGTCAACTTAATTCTGGTCAAAACAAGTTGAGAGATCAGATAAATCAGGTCAAAGATGCAAACCAAATGTTGAATCAAGAGATAAACATATTGCAAAGAAAATATCAGACACTAGTTGAACACATTGTATCCATAAACTCATTCAATGAGAGATATTACCGATCAATTGGTGTGTTGGTTAATTCCTTAGCACAAGCAGGCATCAAACTCCCGCCCTTGGATTTCCCGCTCCCTAATACGGGTCCATTCCAGTTGCAAGAACCAAACTCGAGCTCCTCGTCATTTCCATTGACGCTGAGTTCCATGCCGGCCTCGACTCTACCTAGTATATCGCAACATTTACAGCTGCAATCACCTCGAGTCAACAATTTACTGTCGCCATTGGTCCCATCTGCCCAAACAGGGTCCCCGCGGTTGCCAATACTTCAAGCAACTCCAGCGGCAAATGCACAGACGTCCTTACTCCATCAGAATAATCGCACCTTATCCATACCTGGGGGCAGACCTGCGCCAACTTCCTTTGCGGCAACAAGTCCCATAAGTGGATTGGCCTCTTTGAGCCGACTGCTGTCCATTCATCAACTTTCACAACCTTCGTTCCCTATAGATAAGTTTCCAACGGAAGCAGCAGAGGCAAGCGCTGCATCCACTCTGCGCAAGCAAAGTGGGGGTGATAACAGCAATCAAAACTCGCCAGCCAGCGATGGCAATGCTCTCAGTGGTAAGCGTCAGCGTCAGGGCCAGAGCTCAATTGATGGCACAAACAATAATCATCCTCCTACATCCGGTGATTTTGTTCAACCGTCTCCATCCAATAAACCGTTATCTCCAATGACGAGCACATCTGCTTCCCCCAGTGGTACCGTCCTTCCACAAATCATCACCACATCCATCCCTAACCCCAAATTTCATGTTCTTTTGGTTGAGGATGACAACGTGTGTATTCAGTTGTGCAGAAAATTTTTGGTCAAGTATGGGTGCCAAGTCACTGTTGTAACAGATGGCCTCAATGCGATATCCACCGTGGAAAGCACCAAATACGACTTGGTTTTGATGGATATTGTTATGCCTAATTTAGATGGAGCCACAGCAACTAGCGTGATTCGATCATTTGATACCAGGACCCCAATTATTGCCATGACGGGTAACATTGAAGACAACGATTTGGTTACATATTTGCAAAATGGAATGAGTGACATCTTGGCCAAGCCATTCACGAAGGACGACTTGTACTCGATCCTAGCGAAACACTTACTAAAAGAGGAGAAAAGCGACGAAGAGCCTACAAGTAAAAAGCAGAGAGTAGAATAATAATTTATGTAGTGAGTCTATGTAGTGCCAAGTCTGAAAATGAATTTCCCCATGGGTCATTTTTGTTGAAATTGTGTTTGTAACGAACAATATCCACATGCTTGAAGTAAACGGAGTCAAAGTTGTATACAATATCTGGCTCTTTAAACTGCTTTCTCCTTCTATTTTTCGATACTTTTGTAAACCCATCATCGGACTCCAAACCTTGTAAGTATTGCACCAATATAGCCATACCAGGGTACAACTCAGCCAATTTCTTCTTTGTTAATCTGTCTGTGTGGGCAATTGCATCATTTCCTAAGAAGCAAACTGGTTTCTCTGTGTTTAGCACCATCTCCATTGCCTCAAGTGGTAAATGGGGTATATAGAAAAGAACACTCTCATCCTGCCGAAGGTTGAACTTTTGCTCAATTTTGTAACCCCCAAACAACTCTTTATCCTCTTTTGTGAATGCTGGATCGTAGATGGATATTTCTGTGACTCCCAAGTACTCAATCAACTCTAGTAGCAATGCGTATTGATATCTAGCGTCCGAGCTTTGCGACGGCGACCCCAAAGCAAGACATCGTATACATTTGAAAGAGCCATTTATTGTCGCCTTGAGTTCATTGAAAAATTCTGACTTTCTGATGACACTCCTGTTCTCTTCAATCTTTAGTTGCAATCTCTCCATTCGGTTTAGTTCCGTGGGAAATGCCGCTGATTGTCGAAAAGAAAAGGAAAAAAAAAAAAAAAAAAAAAAAAAATTGTTTCCCAAAGGGCATCTCAAACGTGCTCTTTCCTGTTCATTCTGATGAGCTATCTCGTCTAGATCATCAACAAACAAAACATATATATTTCCAAGCCACGTTGTCGCTGATTATTGAAATGCGTAAGTGCAAGATCTTTGTTGGATCATCGCATCCAGAGTTGGGCCAATTGGTCTGCGAGAGGTTGGGCGTGGAGCCGGCACCGTGCACCTTGAAGAAGTTTAGCAATGGAGAAACCTCGGTTCAGATTGGTGTTAGTGTGAGAGATGAGGATGTCTACATTATTCAAAGTGGATCCTCAAACATAAATGATCACATCATGGAGCTTTTGATTTTGATTAGCGCCTGCCGTGGTGGAAGTGCAAACAAGATTACCGCTGTTATCCCTCAGTTTCCTTACAGTAAGCAAAGCAAGATGAAGAAACATAGAGGTGCTATTACCGCCAGGATGTTGGCAAACTTATTGGTCATGGCTGGAGCTGACCACGTTGTGAGTATGGACCTTCACGCTAGTCAAATGCAAGGGTTTTTCACTGTTCCTGTGGATAATTTATTTGGTGCTCCAACTTTGGCAAGATGGATCCGTCACAACATTGAGTCGTGGGAGACGTCTGTTGTTGTGTCGAAAAACCCTGGTGGAACCAAAAGAGTCACTGCTTTGGCTGACAGTCTAAAGATCAATTTCGCAATGATTCACACAGATAGAAGAAGAACTCAGGACGAATACGCCAAGAAAAAGGCTTTGAAAAGGGCAAAGATTGTCAATGATGAAGGCGTTGAAGCAGATGGAGAGGACAATATTGTCAATGAATTGCAAACCGCGCGAATTGTTCAGGGCCATGTTGTAGATGATGATTATCAATGCAAGGACTCAAAAGTCAATGATGAGAATTCAAGCCACTTGACCAACTCAAACATAATTGATAGTGATGTTTTGGGTGGATCATATGATGCTGCAAATTCAGATGACGAGGACGAGCCATTGGTCGAGGAAAAGTTGATTACGTTGGTGGGTGATGTAAAGGACAAAGTTGCCATCATATTGGATGACATGATTGACAAGCCAAACTCGTTCATTGCCGCTGCAGAACATTTGAGGATAAACTGTGGTGCCAAAGCTGTTTACGTCGTTGGTACACATGGTGTGTTCAATGATTCCTGCTTGGAGCGTTTAACTGATTCCAAATGCATTGATAAAATCGTGGTGACAAATACCTATCCTATCCCAAAAGAGCAGATTGAACAGCACAAGGATAAGCTCGTGGTCATTGATGTATCTCCGATTTTTGCTGAGTGTATTAGAAGAGATCACTTTGGAGAGTCCATTTCGGTACTATTTGACTCGTTGGTAGCTATAGATTAGTTTAAGGAGGAGGGCTGTATGCAATTCATTTATAATTTTTTTTTTTTTTTTTTTTTTTTTGAAAAGCATAAGGAGACGATTAGGTATAGTGTCTCTTGAGATAATCTAATTTCAATCTATAAACATACTAGAGACCACCTATTGCAATTGAGCAATGGTGTCGTCCACTGATTTTCTCAAATCAATAAACTTGAAACCCAAAATCTTTCTTGTCTTTTCGTTGTTGATGATACTTTCACTATCTTCGAACTTGGGTCCCTTTGACTTGTCCAATTCAGGTAACTCTGGTTTCAACTTTGGGAAATCCTCAGCAATTATATCGTAAATCTCCCCCGAGTTGAATGGAGCATCAGCTAAGAGCAATCTTTGACCAATTGCTTCCTTCTTCTCAAATGCCACGATATGAGCTTTTGCAACATCTCTAACGTCAATAAAGTATCCAACGTATTGTTGTGGTTCCTCCTTCTTTTTACCGGCAGTCAATATGCTGTTGATGATTTCATTAGAGGTGTTCAATTTAGACTTGTCTTTAACCTCGAAAGCTTGTGGTCCAAGCACATAAACGGGATTAACAACGGTGATCTCCCATTTTGGCTTGTTTTCCTCCGCAAACTTCCAAACTGTCTTTTCGGCGTGCTTCTTTGATCCAATGTATCCAACAAAAGGATTTGCTTTTGATTGGTCGTAGGTGATTGGATTCCAAGAACTCTCGTTAACCTCCTTGCCCGGAGTAACCAAATCGGCAAACCCGGCGACAGCAGCATATGACGAGGTGACAACCACTCTTTGAACATTTTTACCATATTCCTTGATAGCATTTAAAGCATTTGTTGTGCCCTCGATAGCAGGCTTCAATAAGTCCCTTTCAGCATCATGGACTTCAAAAGTGAAGGGAGAAGCGGTGTGCAAAAAGACAGTGACCTCTGGGTGAGCTTTCAATGCTTCGTCAAATGCACCTTTTGCTCCAATATCTTTCACAATAACATAACTGAATAAGTCTGATTTGAGTCCAGCAGACTTGAGCAAAGATTTCAAGTTTTCACCCTTTTCTTCAGATCTGACTGACCCAATGGTTTTGTAGCCGGCCTCTAATAAAAGCTTGACAATGTGTTGAGCAATGAATCCTGTAGCTCCACTAATGAATACAACGTTTTCTGATGACATGTTTGTTGATGGGAAGGAGAAGGAAAAATCTCTATTTTCTCAAGAGAAGTTGCTGTCTTTTTATATTCAAATTGTGGCTGCAAAGTATAGTTGCTGTATTTCTCGGCCGAGATAGTCCGGCCGAGCAATTTCAGGTTTTGGACCCGTTATTTTTCAACACAACAAGAAAAATCCGATTATTCTGGAAACATGATTGCAGATGATCTCGTAGTTGTGGAGAGTGTTGTGGCTATAGCCTCATGTTTCTTGAAACACTCTCCTCGTTTTTGTGCTTCTTTCAAACAGTAAGCCACAGGGATGTGCCACATTCAATAATGAGAAGCAAGCACAACTGGCAAAAATAAGAGCACACACAAGTTGTAAAAGTTGATTCTTTAGGCTTTACTCTGTAACAAAAGCGTAGAGTGAGTACAGCATGCATTTGTTCAGAATCATTTGAGGCAGAACACATTAGGTGTGATTGTATAGTTTGCAAATACGTTGTGTTGAATTGTCCAAAATTTCAACACAAATTTACAGCAAATGATTCAGGCCGTCAGCAGTACTTCCAAAACAACATCGTTGTTGTCAATGAATGCGCTGCTACTCAACGTCTTATTTTGTCATTTGTGCTTTGACGGTCTTAGTTGAATGTGTAGTCTCGGGAAGTCTAATTAGTGCACATCCCAATACAAAAATATCTCGCGTTTTGATCACAAGCTTGAACAAGACTTTTAGAACCAGCAAAACCTTTCAATGAGCCAACTGGCAACTAACAATGACCCTTATAGCGACTACTACGAGGAGTATGCGGCTAAGTTTACCAAGTTCATGACATTCAACCCCACCACCTACCACACTATCATCCATTTTAAATCAGTGTTGGAAAATAACAATTTCCAATATCTCCCCCAATCGAAACCAATAGAACAACTAAGTCCAGGATTCTACTACACCAGTCGATCTGATCAATGCTTGGTTGCATTTGTTAGAGGTGCAAAGTGGAAGCCACTGAAAGGTACATGTTTTGTGGGCAGCCACTGTGATGCGTTGAGTATTAAATTAAATCCGAGGGGACTGTTTAGGGAAAAGATACACGGGTATGAGTTGCTTGGTGTTGCACAATATTCGGGCAGCCTAAACAAAAACTGGCTCAACAGGGACTTAGGTTTAGCAGGCGCAGTCTTGGTACGTGACTCAAAGACTGGCAAGATATCCCGAAAGTTGATCAACTCTTATCCCACTCCAATTGCCTTCATCCCTGCATCGGAATATCTTGGTGAAGATGAGCTGTATAACAGGCAAACACAAATGGTGCCGGTTTGCTCTTATTCTAGTGAAGATTTGGTGCCTACAGAGGAGGAAAAGCAGTCCAAATTTTACAAACAGCATTCGTTGAGTTTGCTTAGATATGTATCGAAGTTATCAGAAACCCCCATATCTTCCATTGTGGACTTTGATTTAGACTTGGTTGACGTTCAGCAAAGCGCTAGAGGCGGCCTCGAGAGTGAATTTATATACCTGGCGAGTTTGGATGACAGACTATGTGCATTTGATTCTGTGTATGGATTGGTTGAGTTTAGCCAACAGATTGTTGACATTGATAATTATGACAGTCTTGTTGGTGTTTATTTAGCAAACAATGAAGAGATCGGTAGCTTGACGTCGACTGGTGCGTATGGCGGGTTTTTAACTGACAATTTGAAATCAATCGTATGTGACAACACAAGCAAGCTTCAAACTGAAGAGTCAATACAAAGGCTTCTCAAAAGCACAGTTTTCCTATCAAGTGACGTGACGCATGCATTGAATCCAAACTTCAAAGACATATACTTGAAGAATAATTACCCTTTACCCAATGTGGGACCCTCAGTAAAGTTTGATTCAAACGCCCATGTGTTGAGTGATTCCTTGGGCAAAGAATTTTTAGATAGAGTGATCAAGAACATTCAAGGGGTCAAGCTTCAGGAGTTTCATATTAGAAACGACTCAAGGTCTGGAGGAACCATAGGTCCCATCATGTCAAACTCGACGCGAGGATTAAACGGTGCAAAACTCATAGTTGACGTTGGCATGCCGATATTGAGTATGCATTCAATAAGGAGTGTGATGGGGTACAAAGATGTGGGTATTGGTATTAGATTCTTCAAAGAGGTGTTTATCAAGTGGAAAGACATTATAGAAGAGATGAATATTTAGCGCTACCAGATAGGCATAGAAAAATGCAGAACCGCATAGAAATTTCCACACTCTCTCATATATTTAATTCACCCTGTTTTACTGAGTTTTACTCTACACTGAGCAATTCACTATCGAAGCATGAGAATACCTTCGTCATTAATAAGGCGCAGCTTATTCCATAAACGTCCAGTTCAAGTGAAGCCACTCTTTGCATCCAGATCTTTCCACTCCTCAATAAAACGGCTCATCGATTACGATCCGTATCAGATCTTGGGTATAGAGAAGTCAGCGGATGCAAAGCAGATAAAAAAGGCATACTATGATTTGGTCAAGAAATATCATCCTGATGTGAACAAGGAAAAGGACGTGGAGAAGAAATTTCACAAGATACAACAAAGTTATGAAATTTTGCGAGATAAGGAAAAGAAGTCACAGTACGACCAATTTGGCCCTAGTGCATTTGACGAAAATGGGAATCCAAGCCCATTTGGTGGTGCAGGTGGTGGTGCAGGTGGTGGAAATCCTTTCGCCGGTTATGGTAGAGCAAGTGGTGGTAACCCCTTTTCTGGTATGGGATTCGATTTCGAAGATTTATTCAGGGAAGCATTTGCTGGGGGAAGGGGTGCAGGTGGTAGAGGCGGTGGTGGTGGTGGTGGTTTTGGCGGCAGAGCTCACTTTGTCACTGAACACGTTGGTGATAACGTCGAGGTTTTGAAACTGATACCTTTCAAGGATAGCATATTTGGAAGCAAGGTCACAATCAATTACAAAGTGGTTGACTCGTGTGGTACATGTAACGGCAGTGGTTTGAAAAAAGGAGCCAAAAAGAAAACTTGTCCTACATGCCATGGATCTGGGCAAACAACTCATGTCATGGGTGGTTTCCATATGGCTTCGACTTGTCCGACTTGTCAAGGTACGGGTGTTTCCATCTCTAGATCTGATGAATGCGGCACGTGTCATGGAAATGGGGTCCAAGAAGTTCCGAAATCAACCACTATTGATATCCCGCCAGGTATAAGCGACGGCTCTAGGCTCCGTGTTCCAGGAGCTGGTGATGCCCCAATGGTGACAAAAGATGAATACAATCAAGTTCGCAACGGTGATTTGATTGTTAGAATCAATGTTCAAAAGGACCCAGTATTTAAACGAGAAAGTAACGATTTGGTGGTGACTCAGGAGATTTTGATGACAACAGCAGCCTTGGGAGGAGAAATTGTTGTGCCTACTTTGGATGGACAGAAGATTAAGTTGAAGGTCAGGCCAGGTGTTCAATCGGGTAGGAGACTAACCATACCAGAGAGAGGTGTGCCCATCAACAGAAACTTGAACAATAGAGGTAATCTAGATGTGGTGATAAATGTGAAAACGTTGGTACCAGAAAATCCAACCCAAACAGCATTGCTCGAAGCATTGGCTGATGCTTTCAATGACAAGCTTGCAAATAGAACGGATGTGGATTGGCAGCATGAACTTGAGGAGAATTCAAGTGATGAGAAGTACCAAGAGGTTGACGAGAAAGACTTGCATCCGTCTAAATTGGCGAGGATTGGAAAGGTCTTGGGTAAGTTTTTCAACTTTGATGCTGATAAACTGAAGAAGGACAATAACGAGAAATGATAAATTAACTTGTACATAGAATCTGTATTTAAATTATCGTTTAAGATTTTAATTCCTCGATAGTTTTCAAGAGCTCTTTACCGTCATCGGCAGTCTTGACTTTGACCACAAATGTTTCAATTTTGTTGTCGCTGCTGAAAACGGGGATCCGAACTAAGGACCCATTCCCCATAGAGCTGTATGAGACATCCTTGGATAACAAGGTGTTTAATAAAACACGAAGACTGCCGTCTGCTCTGATTACTATCCTCGACTTTGATGTATCTGTATTTCGTAAAACCTTTAGTTCACCTAGTCCTTTATTTATGTATGGATTGGAAGTGTTTGAAGAATCGAATTCCATCAACTTGGCCCTAATCGTGAACTTGGTTTCCTCGTTTTCCTCTCCCGAATGTACTTCCTTCTTTTCGTTCATCTGTGCAACTGGAGTAAAATTGCCCTCCACTTCATGCTCCTCTACTTTGTCAGCTTCGACTTTCTCATCCTCTTTGCCGGTATCTTTTTTCTGGCCCCACTGAAAGCCAGTAGTACCTAATCCACCAAATGGATTGCTGGCTGGAGCTGTATCTGGTTTTGTGCCTCCAAAAAGGTTATTTGTTGGAGTCGTAGCAGAGGCGCCGGTCTTTTGACCAAATGCAAATACCGGTTTGTTTCCAGAGTCTGAGCCGTCTGTAGATTTTTTATTTTGGTTAAACAAGTTGCTTGAGAATGGTGTGCCAAACCCTTTGGACTCAGAGGTTGTACTTGCCCCAAATTGAAATGGGGATTTGGATGTGTTCAGCTCGATCTGCTTGTTTATTCCAGATGTTGTTCCTCCAGACACGGCATTGGTTGCATTTTCAGATCCAACCAGTGGATTTTCTTGCTTTGCTCCGAAGTTGAAACTTGGTTTGGGGGAGGAGTTAGTGTCTCCTCCAAATCCGGAAAAGACTGAACCAGTGGTGGCAGACGTTGAGTTTTGATTTGTGTTTGCACCAAAGCTGAACGCGGATGATGGTTTTTGTAAGGGGGTGGTTCCAGATGCTGCTTGACTAGATGCAAAGTTGAATGGTCCGCTTGTGTTTGTTGAGGAGGTGCTTTGTACATTTGTAGAATTTTCTACTGGTTTTGCTCCAAAGTTGAAGCCTGAGGTAGGCGCTGATCCAGTGGTGGAAGGCGTTGATTGTTGACCGAATGTGAACAGCAGTGCGGGCTTGTTTGTTTCTGAGGACGCATTGTTTCCTGAATCTGTTGCACCCTTAAGCTTGAATACGCTATCTTGAATAGGCTTATTGAAGTTGAATGTTGGTCCTTTGATGGGGACATCATCGTCAGAGTCGTCAGAGTCCTTGGCATTCAATTTGGCAATCTTTTTGGGGTCAAAAGTGAATGGAGACGAGGATGAGGATGAGGATGGTTTTTGGGTAAGGGTGAATTTTGGGCCCTCAACTTTAACTTCCTTCGTCTGATCTTTTTCGTCGGCTTCACTATCGCTACTTGACTGGTCTTCCTGAATCTTATCCTGGTTCTTCGATGCTGGAGCTGTGGCTGGAGCTGACGATGTTGGTCCACCCTGTGCGCTTCCGCTCTTTATTTCCTTGTAGTAATTGATATACTTTTCAGCAATTGGGGTAAGATCAGCGATAGCATTCTCCTTATTGAATTCGTTTATCTTGTTTACAAAGTTTAGATTCAATGCTCTAATCTTGTTTGCATCGTCATTAGCCTTTAGAGGAGTAGCAGTTGGTGCACTTTTAGTAGATGGATTGAATTGGAAGGAGGAGGTCAGTGGTATCAGAAACGTGGATTTTGTAGTACTGCCATTACCGTCCCCTAGTTTCCTTCTTGGTTTGAGTATCTTTCTCGTGGCCAAGACCAGCGAACTTGCTTGCACTGGGCGCTGTTCATCGTCATCAGACACTTCTTCGTGAAATGCTTCTCGCGTGATTTGTTCAGTCGCTTGTCTTTTTGTCATGACTTGATACTGTATGTACTTTGCGATGAGAGAGTAGGGTAAAGTGATGTGATGTTTTTACAACTGCTTGGTAAAAGAAGTGCGCTACCTATACTTGGTGAACTCACAATCGGAAAGTACACACTTTTTGCTGAAATGTGATGAATGTAGACATGGACTAAGCTGATTAGGATAGATTTGTCAACAGGACGTGCCACTGTGCTAGCCCCACGGTCATGCCTTGCAGAATCAGAACCAACGCTATTTTGCATGTGTTTGTAGCCCTAGTCACGTGTACTCACTGGACGCCTTTTCCACACTTTTTTTCTTGCGCATTGTGAGAACACCCCCCCCCGTCTCTCTCCAAAGACTGGGACTGGGTAAGAAAAAAAAAATTAAAACAATCAAGAGAGAAGCATTTTGGAAAAAAAAGGCTCGTATTACATTTGATATCTTTAGACCAACCATAAAAGTATGTTGAACCAAGAGATGATATGTGTGATATTGGATTAGAGAGGAGAAACATCGAGGGTATAGTTGGCCGCTGTTGTCGCATGTTGTCCGTTGCCCCCGTTCCGTGGCTCCCTCATCCCAATATCGACCTCGATTTTGAAGATCCACAAATACTAACTGCAATTTTCTTAGAATGGCACCAAAGATTCAACAAACCAAAGCTGCTAAGGCCGCTGCCGCTTTAGCTGGTGGTAAGAAAGGTAAAAAGAAGTGGAATAAAGGAAAGGTTAAGGACAAGGCTCAACATCTCGTCATCTTGGACCAAGAAAAATACGACAGAATCTTGAAGGATGTCCCAACTTACAAATACGTATCTGTATCAGTATTGGTTGATAGATTGAAGATTGGTGGTTCCCTTGCTCGTGTTGCTTTGAGACAATTGGAAAGTGATGGTATTATCACCCCAGTATTGAAGCACTCGAAACAATACATCTACACTCGTGCTCAATAAGCTAAGTAGTTGGGTATAACGACCTTTATATTGATCATGTAATAAAAACAAAACACCTCATTCAGAAATTCGTTGATTGTAAAATATATATTTCTATCTCTATAGGAGGGTGGAAACAATTTACTGGAAATTTTTCATCCCGACACCAACAGTGCAAAATGAGAAGACAGTTGTTATACTTTAAAAGATCGTTTTTCGGATCGTCAAAGCCACAGACATATAGCATTAGCAGAGTTCTCAATGGGTCCCCGCAGCAACTATACAAGATAGTCAGCGAGGTCAATAACTACAAAGATTTCGTACCGTTTGTTGAGGATTCGTTTGTATCGAGTAGAGATGCGCAACAGCAACCTACCAAAGCAGGATTAAAGGTTGGATGGAAGGATATCACAGAGAAGTTTGAGTGTCTGTTGGCGTGTCAAGAGAATGAACGGGTGCATGCAAGAAGTTTACAATTGGACTTGTTTCATGAGTTGGAAACGGAATGGAAATTCAAAACCGCCAATGGCGATAAGTGCAGAGTCGACTTCACGTTGTTGTACAGATTCAAAAACCCTTTATATGATCGACTTAGCTTCATGTTTGCACCGCAAGTAACAGAGATAATGATTGGAGCTTTTGAAAACAGGCTTCAACAATCGAGGAAACAATCTCGACTACAAAAGTTATAGAATATTCATAGAGTCTCGATAGACAAAAAAAAAATGATGTGCATTAATGTGTCGCTTCTCTTGTTGGTGATTATCATCCAATGCGTTTGGACTATAGATGTGAACCCACTACCCCAGCCACAAAGAGCGGATTGGTTTGGGGACGGTTATATTAGTATTGATTTGGAACTGCTTTACATAGATATCGACAGTGAATTAGTTGAAAATGCGCTTGAAAGAATGGTGGAGAATGTCAAAAGGGTCAAGTGGACTCCGTACGAGTACAAGCCTAGTAGTGGGTTATATGATACTTACTCGTTGGTGACCCCTCCCCTTGTACATGTTGAGATTGTCGACTACAATGCAGAGTTGCAGCTTGGTGTTGATGAATCGTACGACTTGAATGTTTCGGAAAATGGAATTGCAATAACTAGTGAAACTGTTTGGGGAGCATTGCATGCGTTCACTACACTCCAACAGCTAATCATCTACAAGCACGGTCGCTACATGTTGGAAAGATCGGTCCACGTTCAAGATTATCCGCATTTCCGCCACAGAGGCATAATGATTGATGCGGCGCGAAATTTCCTCCCTGTGGATTCTATCCTCGAGCAAATTGATATCATGTCGTTGGTTAAAATGAATGTTTTGCATTGGCATTTGGTAGATTCCCAGAGTTGGCCGTTGATTTTAGAGTGTTGCCCAGAAATGCTGAATGATGCATATTCGAAACTGGAACGGTATACAATCAAAGATTTACAGCGTGTGCAAAAATACGCCAGAGAAAGAGGTGTCCGGGTTATACCAGAAATTGATATGCCTGGACATGCCAGGGCCGGTTGGAAACAGGTCGACCCATCGCTTGTAAAGTGTGGGTGCAAATTTTGGAATGGCTTTGCAGTGGAGCCACCCCCAGGTCAGCTCGATGTTTTAAACAACAAAACCTATGCTGTAATACGCAATGTTTATAATGAGCTAAGTGATGTTTTCACTGATGCGTATTTTCACGTGGGAAACGACGAATTGCAGAAACTGTGCTACCCACAAGAATGGTTTAATAACCAAACATTGAGTGACATCACAAAAGGGTACCTCACTTCAGTGCTTCCCATTTTCAACAGTGTCAGAGGTCGAAAGTTGATTATGTGGGATGATGTGCTTACTTCGGAGGCGGCTGTTGCCAATATCCCCAAGAATATCACATTACAAGTGTGGCACGAACCTTCCAATATCAAAACCATAATCAGCAAGGGGTATGATGTAGTAGTGTCTCTGGCAGACCATTTGTACCTCGACTGTGGATACGGTGGATTTCTTACAAATGATTTCAGGTACGTTGACTCCCCTGAAAATGATGATTTCAACACGGGTCAGGCAGGAAGTTGGTGCGGTCCGTATAAAACCTGGCAACGAATTTACTCGTTTGACTTTTTGCGAAACTTGACTGACACGGAAAAGGAAAAGGTATTAGGGGCTGAAGCAGTTTTATGGTCAGAGCAAGTAGATTTTACGGTGTTGACAGGCAAGTTGTGGCCGAGATCAGCTGCTTTGGCAGAGTCACTATGGGGTGGGAATAAGGATGAAAAGGGATTGAAGTTGTACGACATGAGTCTGAGGATCCTTTTGTTTCGGGAGTTTGTAGTAAGGCTTGGTCATTATGCGTCTCCTTTGGCACCAAAGTATTGCTTGTTGAATCCACACGATTGTGACTTGCAAAATGTATAAAGAAGTAATTTTCTTTTTTTTTTTTGATGCGAAAATAAATTAAAAGTGTAAGATTATCCCGTTAATGGCATCGGAAATAAACACAGGTTTGGAACAAGCACTACAGTGGTTGACAGACCCACAAGAGGAGAGCTTTGAGCAATGTTTGTCTAGATTGTCAGGCTTGATCAAAATTTCAACAACCCTTCTGGTGCAAAGCTTAGATGCTGTTGAGACTGCGTTGCGATATGTCCCTCAAAATGAAGTCCACCAATTGCGAGTCTACAGAGGAATTCTCTTGGTTATTAGGAACCTTTCACCATCGCTCAATGTTGATTACTTTCCACTTGTGATTGTAAGCTTCCAAAGGGTGTGGCCTATGGATGTGAATGAGTGGGTTAGTAAAATACGTCTAGTGTACTGGGAGATATTGGCCAATTTTCAGAGAAATCAGTTCGTGGAGCAAATCAACATTTTGTTTGGTTGGAGCACGGTGGAGTTCATTTCTCCCGTAATTCACTTTCTTTTCAGGCAATTCTACACTGAGGATATAGAAACGACCAATGAAAACCTACTTAATCTACTAAAAATCAAGGAGAACCATGTTTTGAAGACAGTGCACCAATTGTACTTGCGAGTAGATTTTGAAAAGGTTGACCATGACTCAAAGATGTTGATACATCTTCTCTACGATATTATCACACATGAAAGTTTTGCAAAATGGATTGATCTGCAGAACGAGGAAGAAAAGATTACATGGTTGGAGCTTGGTGCAGTCATTGTCCAGACTAAAGACGACTGGAACGCTTTCGAGTTGGTTGGATTACTAGTCTGGGTAGAATCAATATTTTTGTCATGCTCACCAAAGCTTACTCCAGAGACTATACACAACGAGCAATTGGAGCGCATATTGTCGAATCTGTTGCAAATCTGTTCTGAACTTGCAAAGTTTAAACCAACAGTTCAATTTTTCGAGCATAGTTCAGCCTTTTTACCTCGGCTAATGGATGTATTTAGAATCGTTCATGAGAATGTCAAGCGTGTCACCATGAAGTCAAAGATCGAGGAGTTAGTCTTATACACCCACGTCAAATCATACATTATCATCATCCTATCCTACTTTTGCTACAAGTCGTTTAAAAACCAAGAGCTAGTTAGAGAATTGGGTGGTTTGTCCCTAGTTTTATCAAATTGTGTTATTGACGAGAATAACCCATTCATTAAAGAGCAGGCAATACTTTGCGTGAAATATCTTTTAGATCAAAATCCAACCAACCAACAGTTTGTCGCAAACCTAGAGGCAAAAAAGACAGTGGATGACAGTGTTTTACAAGAAGTTGGGTACAAGGTGGATATTGTCGATGGTAAGGTAAATATACACAAACGTGATTAGAATTTTAATTCGTCCTTGATGGCTTGCTTCACTTTTTCGATACTTGGCTCATCAATGAGCTTGATTCTCTTTTCCTTTGTGCTCAATTGTTTCAACTCTTCTGGTAACACATCTTTTTCAAAAGAGTAGCCGTCGAATTCTTGGAGAGCTTTGTTCACAACCTCGGAAAATTTGGCGGGGTGGGCAGTTGAAAGTGAAATATACTGTACTGGCTCTGTATCTTTTTCAATAAATCTGTGTGATGTCTTGACACCTACAGAAGTGTGTGGGTCTATGACGTACTTTTCCGAGCTGTTTGAATAAACATGTTTAATTGTCTCAATGGTGGCCTCGTTGTCTACTCTGTCTGAATCAAAAATGTCACGAGCTTTTTCCACCACCTCCTTTGGGGCGGTAAACTTGCCATTTTCTTTCAACTGCTTCATCCAGTCATTCAAAACAGCACCTGCCTTTTCGTCATTTCCTCCAGTAACGTTATCTCTAATCAAATACCACAACAATCTTTCAAAATTGGATGAGATTAAAATATCCATAGCAGGTGAATAGGTGGCCTTGACTCCAACCTCTTGTTGCTTGGCGTATTCCCCTGATTTCATGAATCTATCCAATATATCATTTTCATTTGTTGCAATGATCAATTTGTCTGCGGGTAATCCCATCTTGTAGGCGTAATAACCAGCCAAAATGTCCCCAAAGTTTCCTGATGGAACAACAAATCTGATTTTCCCTTGAGCTTGCTTTTGCAATTGGAAAAATGAGTAAAAATAGTACGTTTGTTGAGCGAGGATTCTTGCCCAATTGATGGAGTTAACGGCACCGACGTGGTACTTGTCATTGAACTCCTTGTCTCCAAAGATCAGTTTCACGATATCTTGGCAGTCATCGAAAGTTCCTTTGACGGATAATGTGTGCACATTGGAATCCTCTACCGTGGTCATTTGTTCCTCTTGGATAGGACTTATTCTACCAGTAGGGTACAAGATGAAAACGGAAACGTCCTTTTTACCTCTCAATCCGTAAATTGCAGCCGATCCGGTATCGCCAGAGGTGGCACCAACAACTGTGATGATATCCCTTGGTTCCCCTTCAGCCTTTTTGCTGTTTCTTCTTGTCAAAAAGTATTCAAACAAGTTTCCCACGAATTGCAAGGCCACATCTTTGAATGCATATGTGGGACCGTGGAACAACTCCAACAAGTACAATTTGTTATCGAGCTTTTTCAATGGGGTGACATCAGCTGATCTGAAAGTTGAATAAGAGCGTTTTATCAAATCCTTCAAATCCACATTTGGGACCTCCTTTTCACTAATGTACAATCTCATTATCTCGAATGCCAATTCATTAAACGACAAGTTTTTCCAAGTGTCAAGGAAGTTGGATGGTAAACTTGGAATTTCTGATGGCAAATAAAGACCTCCATCAGGTGCCAAACCTGTCATTACCACATCCTCAAACGACAATTCTTCTGGCTTGTCAGACCTGGTTGATCTGTATACTTGGGACGACATTGGTGACTTAAACGTTGGAGATCTATCGATAAATTTTTTGGTTGTTTTTTTTTTTTTTTTTCTCTTTCTCTTTCTTTTTTTTTTTTTCTTTTTCTCTTTCGTTTTTGGCCAAATTTTTCACCGAAATACATTCGAATGAGTCACTGGAGGATCATGTCACGGATATGCCGACTCCGGGTGACATTTAATCAACTCCGCTCGTTCCACTGTGTGTCTGTTCGCTTATCGACGTTTGTTTCTCCAACAACACCGTACTCTGACAAGTACTACAAACCCATTATCACTGAAGGTGCGGCTGGATTTGACAAGTTGGTGATTCCCAAAGATTTCCGTGCAGATAATCAAAGTTTGACGACTGAGAGCCAAGAGAAGTTGGCGGAGATTGTTGGCACGTTTGATGCGGAGATTTCTGCAGTGGTGGGATACGGATCAGGGATTCTTCCGCAAAACGGGTACGACAAGCCAGATAAGGAGAAGCAATTGGATTTCATTTTCCTAGTTGAGGATACTGGTAAATTCCATAAGGAGAATTGCAAGCAAAATCCTTCACACTACTCCACCGGGTCACAGACTTTGATTAACTGGTGGCAAGGGAGCGGGATATACTTTAACCCATATGTCCTCATCAAGGACAAGTTGACCAAGTATGGCGTGACATCGAGAAGGTCTGCTTTTATGGACCTTAGTGAATGGAGCTCTTTGTACTTTGCGGGGAGATTGCAAAAACCGGTCAACTATATCAAGGAGGACAATATGTTGAGATTTCTCAATCAGTATAATTTGAAAAACGCCATGACCATTGCAATATTCCTAATGCAAGCCAATCAGTTCTCAGAGCGACAATTGTACGAGCAAATAACCAGCATATCATATCTTGGAGATTTTCGTATGTACGTTGGTGGTGAGAACCCAAACAAGGTAAAGAACATTGTTTCAAAGCAATTCCAGTACTTTAAGAAATTGTATGATCCTATCTTGCAGTACTTTATACGACGGAATTACCTCGTCATCACCGACAATGACGAAACAAACCGCACATTCAAAACCAATCTCACTACGACCGCTAGAATCAACTTGATTTCGAGTCTCCCATTGAAATTTCGCACCCAGTTATACAGCAAGTACCCGGAGTCTTCTGTGAAGGAAATTGCCAGGGACGAAAAACTACCCGAGAACATAAGGGGTTTGATCACTTCGACCATTATCTACAGCTCACTCATTCAAGGGTTGAAGGGTTTGTTTACTGCGGGGTTATTGAAATCGCTAAAGTACTCAATAGCCAAACGTAGAAAGAGCTCCTAACAGAAAATACGCATTTACCTAATTCTAACTCTAAAAACAATCACTTCTTCTCCTTCTCCTTCTCCTTCTCCTTCTCCTTCTCCTTCCTCTCTTTATTCTTGTTTCCCTTTTCTCTGTTTCCTTTGGGGACTCTGGCCAACCAATAAAGGGCACACGTGAGGACAATGTTTGCAGCAATGAAACAAATAACGAGTCCGAAATTCCTCCATCTCTGACTATATTTCGCACTAATTGAGTCCAAATAAGTATTGGTCGACTTTATTGAACAATAATGGCACCCATTAGTCTCATCGATGTACCCGCCTGCAGTTTGCAAATATGATTGCATGTATGAAGAACAAGACTGCCCACTGGGTGGTTCGATTGTTGATAACTCTGTATCACTGCACTCCACTGAGGTGTTTGCCAATCCCGTACCAAGCATACCTTGCACCAAATAGGTGAATGGATTACAGCGGTACATGAATATCCAAAAGCCAGGCAAGTCAGGACCAGTAACTAAAACACCACAAAATGCCAAACACAAGGTAAACAAAAGGTTTGCAAGATTTGCTGCGTTTTCGGCAAGCTCAACGAATGAAATACACAAAAGACCCATGGTACTGGTGTAGACATAGAAGGAGTTGATAAAGAGCCACATCAAAACACCTCTTTGGTTAACAGCATGAGTCGGCTCGGCATTTGCGTAAAGTCCAACAGGGTAGTACCAGCAAAAGAATGCAATCGTACCTACTGCAATTTGGTAAGGCATTTCCGCTGTGAGCTGAGCCGTAATGAAAGCAAACCAGCTGAATGTTCTTGACGGTGCTTCTCGAACTTCATAAACGTCTCTTTGCTTCACATATTGTGGGAGCAATTGTTCCACCATGGTGTTGAATGGGATGAAAAACATAAACACTGAAAACATCTGGTTTTGTAATCCTTGTATTGTTTTCTTTGCTTTGAAGAATGAGAATCCGTTGAACAAAGCCGATGAGATAACCAAGAATGCCTTTGCGTATATGTATCCGGGACTTCTCCAATCTTGAACAATAACCCTCCAAGTAACTAACAAGTATTGTTTCCATAATGGTGCTGCGTAAGAGTACTTTGTTTCGGGGTCTTCATCTCTAGGCAACTTGGACAATTCAGTTTCCATTGTGGCAATTTCCTTTCTTACATCTTGGTACTCTTGTGAATTCCTCCAAACTTCAAAGTAGTCATGTTTGGCATGCGATCCAGGAGCAGCTCCAACAACTTGCAACATCCATTCTGCAGGATTGGCTTCTGCCGGACATGGATCAGCACCATTCCTTTCAAAATAGTCAATCAATGTTTGGAAATTTTCTCCCAAGTCCCCAAAGTACACAGTTTTTCCTCCTCTTTGCAAAAACAACAAACGATCAAACTCTTGCAACAACAATGCAGAAGGTTGATGGATGGTACATAAAATTGCTTGTCCATTGTCCGCTAACTTTCTCATCAATTTACAAATGGACCAAGCAGTTTGCGAATCCAACCCCGAGGTAGGCTCATCAAGGAACAACAACAATTTGGGCTTGGCAACCAATTCAACCCCAATGGTCAAACGTTTCCTCTGTTCAACATTCAAACCTTCTCCAGCAACACCTACCAATGCATCGGCGTAATCAGTCATCTCCAACAAGTCAATGATGTAATCAACATATGCGTCCTTATCTTTCTTGGAGATCTTGTTGGACTGTCTCAAGTAGGCAGAGAACTGTAATGCTTCTCTAACAGTGGAGGTGGGCAAATGCAAGTCTTGTTGTTGGACATAACCAATCGATCTTTGGAATGAGGAGTCAAGAGAGTGACCATTGACTAATCGTGTACCATCAGTTATGACACCGGTTGTGACTCTCTCTGACAAACAATTCAACAAGGTGGTTTTCCCAGCACCCGAGGCCCCCATCAAAGCAGTAATCTGCCCGGGCTTGACCCATCCATCAACATGATCCAAAATGACCCTATCTTCCTTCTTGATTTTAACCTGGTATGTCAAATCCTTCCAGAAGAAAATTTCTCTGTTGCTAGGTATCTCGGCAGATGTTACTGCTCTAGCACCATTTTCAAATCTTGCAGCTTCACCTTCTGCCTCACGCGAGACCTTCTGATTGGGCATGCCACCGTATTCGGAATCCCTGGCCTGAGCCAATCTTTTTTGCTTTTGCTTCTTCAATGAACCTTTCAAAAACAAAACAATCTCACCTTTTTGCAAAGCACCCTTGTTGAACTCAGTAAGGGAAATATAGACAAACAAAAAGAAAACAGCAAACCCAATAGTGATACCAAGATTTCTCCACTTGTGAGAATTGTAATATTGATAAGCGAGTCTGATGTAGTCAGTACCATTAACATAATCGGCTCCCGGCTTTGATCCCACTGCTGAACATACCCTATTGTTCTGGCCAATATTTTGATATGCAGGTCCCGCAGGTACATAAGCTGAACACGAGAAATCGCGATCGTGAAATTCGTTTGCCATTAGTGATTCAAACACATATCCAACAGGGTTGATATAATTGATCCATCTTGACCATCCCAACATATCGGGTGTAGGGATGACGAAACCAGTGAAAATAATCAATGCAAGCAACAATACAGTGGCTGGAGTGAAGGCCGCCGCAATCGATGTCGAAACAGCACCAATAGATCTAAACAAGTGCGACATCACCAACGTACACCACCAACACATCAACCAATAGAAAAAGAATCTTCCGGGGTTCCGTCTGAGGTTGACCATAAAATAGAAAACAAAGTTGAAAGACATCGACAGCAATAACTTTACGGGCAACTCAGTTACGATACTTGCCAATGCATCTGCAGATGGTCGGTAAAGCGCATACTTTTTATGCTTTTCCACAATTGGTCTGGATTCGAAAAGTGACAAGATCTCCAAAAGCGAGGAGAATGCATTGAACAACACGGCAAAAAACAACGCGGCTCCACGGAAATAAAAGGAACCAGTATCCGACGGCAAATTGTAGAAGATGGAGGACAAAATAAGACTCATTACCAACTGACCAAAGACAATAAACAACGAAATTGAAGGATCACCTTTGGTTCTCAACCAGTTTCTGTACATCAAATACTTGACTTGCATTAGGAAAGATACGGTGTATGGTGATGCTGGACGTATGTGGTCTGCTTGTCTTGCTGTGTGTGCCTCATGGTACACTTGTCTTGTGTTCAGCTTTTCACAGTCGACGAAATACTCATCAATCTCCTTAATCAATGCAGCATACTCTGGTGAGTTCTTCCATCTTGCCTCAAACTCTTCTGCAGTACGAGGGACCTTGTTTTCAAAACCTGGACGTGCAACTCTCTCTGCTGGGTTGGACAATGAAGTCAAGAAATCGGCGGTTGTTTGTCTCTGTGGGCACTGCCAACCCATGTTGAGGAAGTATTCTTTGGCTTTTTCGGCGCGGCCAAAGAAAATTTGGTAGCCTTCGTACAACACGACAACTTTGTCAAACAAATCATAAGCGTCTTGTGAACACTGGTAGATGGCAATCAATGGGGTGGTATCTAAAATTGCTGCCGATGTCTTTAATGCCCTGATAAACTCCAATGCTGTGGCAGAGTCCAAACCTCTAGTGGCATTATCCCAGCACTGAATATTTGCACCATTCAATGAGGCCTCTGCAATGGACACTCTTTTACGTTCACCCCCGGAAACACCTCTAACAAAATCGTTACCAACGTTGGTGTTCTTTGTGTGTAAAAGACCATACATTGCCATATACACATCGGCCATGTGTTCGGCATACTTTTCTCGGTCCACATTCTCACCTCTGTTTTTTGGTGTTCTCATTCTAGCTGCAAACTGCAATGTATCTCCAACTGACAAGTGTGGGAAATGAACATCTGTTTCTGCAGAGTAGATAACATCTCCACGATAGTGTTTTGAAATCTCTTTTGGCGTTAATCCATCGTAAGTTATCTTTGACTCTTTGCCAATGTGGAAACCATATGTGTTAACGGCAATGGTTTTCAACAAGGTGGAACAACCAGCACCTGGTCTACCCAAGACAACAGTAAGCTCGCCTGGTCTCATAATGGCATCCATATGTTTCAAAATGTCAAACATCTTTGAGTCGTCCATTTTTCTTACGTAGTCTAAACCTTCTGTGGCGTACTTCCAAAGGGCATTTGTGACTGTTGGCTGGTAGTCGGTGTCGTTTGCAATTCCATAAGCTCTCAAGTTTCTGTAGCCTACACCCAACCTGGAAGGCTTGTAGTAGTCAGGTTGCGTGTCAAACAATTTCTTCAAGTTCTTTACCCAAAACTTGGAATCGAAATTAGTGGAGTTTGGATCTAATCTTTCATCTTGCTCTTCCTCAGCGAGTAAGTTTACACCAGGCACCTGGGACATATGTGTAAGATACCTTTTCAAGCTCGCTGCTGAGCTGGTGTCCTCATTGGTTAACGTTTTTGCCAATTGCTGAACATCTTGGGCGCCAAATCCAGTATACTCATGGATGGAATGCTCGTCAGACGACGACGTAGCGGTCCGTTGTTTCTCCAAGTTATTGGAGGACTCCTTGTTTGACTCCTCTGCACTAGACATCGTTGACGGCTGGGTATAAAGGATTCAAAACAATCAAACAAACAAACAAACAAAACAAACAGAAATGAAGGGATTTTCCTGTTTTATAGATTGGGAGATGACAATAGAACAATTCTTCCGGAGATAGAGCAATATACACAAAACTAACATAAAAAAAAAAAAAAAACAAAGAAAAAAGTGCGGCCGGATAAGAAAAACCGCATGGAAGGGAGTCAAAGTTCGTTCCACGTTCCGCTAAAAATAAGTGTACCCGAAGGCTGTGCTGATGCCAAGAGCTGAACACATTCCCGAAGGGCTTAAGCTATTGGATCGTAGTATTGGAAAACAGTTACACAACGCAGGCAAGATGAAAATGTGCATACGATGCAGGCAATGAATGCATCGTTTCCCGGAGCAATCATCAACTAACCGTGAGCGGCTAATATGGAGAATTCTTTTACGAAGAGGAGAAAAACGTTGTATACGCGCGCCATAGTTAACAAGAGAGATAGAGAGAGAAAAAAAAATGAGAAAAAAAAGTATGCTCTAAAAATAGGTGGACGAAAACGTGGGCAAAATCTGGATAAACTGCGCCAGCTTTGCAGTGAGTAAACGGGTACGGTTTCTATTAGCTTGTAATAATGCGGACAGAATTGGGATATTAGAAATGGGTAACTCATCTCGCAAGTGGATCTGGTGTAAGGGTTGTTTCTTGTCACGGTTTGGTCGTGTAATTAGGCAATAATTACCGCCCTGTTTTATTTGTTTGTTTGTTTCGGGTCGTGCAAAATAGTTACAAATGTGCTTTGAATGAGAGCGTTGTTGAAATACACGCGCTTTGGGGGTGTAAATATTTAAGGGGAGAAGAAAATTTCTCACGCCGACGAGAGGAGACGTGGAGTTTCTCTGTCTTCTTCTCTAGGGTCTTCACTAGAGAGTTCAGTTACATAGAGACTTATAGCCTTTCGAATAGACGCAAGCAATTTAATTACACCCTATCAATCACTCGCGGATTGAAATTAAACAAGCGTTCTAGCAAAAACAAGCACACTAGTTGAAAGTTGAGGATGGGTTGAAGGTGTATAACGAGACTTGCGAGTACGGGCTACACACTGGTATCTCAAGCAGTCAACTTGTTCAACAAATTTCAGTTCTGAATAAAAAAATTGGATATCTTGTACGAACGTGTAGAATATGTGGCGCTAAGTTAAGCGCTAACAAAAATAAAACTTGGGACAAGAAGAGTTTGTGTGGGAAGTTGGTGGGACATATTCAAGTTGCACACACTATTGGATGGAGGTGGTTAATGTCTCTGTGGAGATAGTAGTCTATGGACTGTGCCAATATGTTTATTTGGCGACTTGTCTAACAATGTTTCATTCTGTGGTGTGCATTTTAGTTAAGAGGTAGTGCGGACTCTTCAGGAGTGAGGGAATACTCGAGTATCTTCACGAGTAGTTGTTCTGGTGGCAGGGTAGAAGTAGATGCAACAGTATAGTGGTGTATATGCCACGCAGAAACACTCACTTGCACACTCGTCATACAGAAATGTGCTGGTGTGGCATGTTGGGTCCATTTCGAAAGTATGGTAGTGTCTCAGGACCAAGCCAGACACAGCTCCATTGACAATCTTTTGAGTTACAAAGAAGTTGCCGGTGTCACTGTGTTTCTAGGAGTACAAGAGTGTATGATATCTTAAACTGAGTAGTTGTTTGACAATGCTGTGCATATTCTCTTTGTATCTCATGCTCAAGACTTGTTGTTGCACGTGTGCGCGGATGTGATCTTGTAGTACTATCGTTTTAAGAGAAGCTAATTTATAGGTAGAATCAATGAACGGTTAAGTATCTCTAAAGATTCTGTGCGCAATAAGGTAGCTAAAGTATAAAATGAATAGATTGATGTCTATACAAGAATAAGTATAGATAGAGTGGGAATCTAGGTGTATAAATACACCTCCCAATTCGTCGTCTATTCGCGTTCGTCGTCGACGCATAATAAGCGCTATGCTATTCGTATTGTCGTAATTTTAGACGACGACGAACGGCGCGGCTAGACGGCAGTTATCCAACAACAGATGTAGACTTGCGATGATTCTATCTCTCTCATATTTGTTCTGATGAGTGTGCGGNCGGTGTCACTGTGTTTCTAGGAGTACAAGAATGTATGATATCTTAAACTGAGTAGTTGTTTGACAATGCTGTGCATATTCTCTTTCTATCTAATACTCAAGACTCGTTGTTGCACGTGTGCGCGGATGTAGACTTGCGATGATTCTATCTCTCCCATATTTGTTCTGATGAGTGTGCGGGTCGCTTTCCTGATTTGAAAATTATATTTTGTGTTGAAATGGACCGAGGAAGGAGAGATGAAAGCAGGAGAATGGAGATATGGCGTGGTAGCGCAGTCTTGTGAGAGAGACAAGACTAAAGATAAAGAGGAGGACAGATTTTTGGAGAGGCGGGGAGTGGTGTAGAAGTGGTTGCTGGAGGTGAATGTAGTGAGTGGTGGTGACTGTTGAGCTGTTGCTATTTTTTGTATATGTTTTGGTGTAAGTTGGTAGTATTATGAAGTAAAAAAACAGAAGCAGTGGGTGTGATTGTAGAGGTGAGAATAAGTGAGACAACTGCAACTGCAATGAGATAACAAAGGATATGGAGTAGTTATTACATGCGACAAGAGGCAATATAGAGCATTGGATGGAGATATTACTTGATTATAAGTGGTGATTGATGGGGTGTTTTGACTGAGGTAAGTGTCCTGCATACAAGACAACTCAAGACTGAAGAGACAGCTCTAAGCAACTAGTTCTAGGATGTGAATCATGTTCTCAGTTTAGTGAAACAGAGTACAGAGAAGAAGGAGTCTATTCAGTTGAAGTAGTCAGTTGAAGCAGACAGTTGAAGCAGTCACTTGAGGCAGTCAGTTGAAGCAGTCACTCTCACAGTAACATCTCTTTCAATAAGCAACTCCATCTGAAGAGTAGCCTTNAACTCAAGACTGAAGAGCAACTAGTTCTAGGGTGTGAATCATGTACTCAGTTTAGTGAAACAGAGTACAGACAAGAAGGAGTCTATTCAGTTGAAGCAGTCAGTTGAAGTAGTCAGTTAAAGCAGTCAGTTGAAGCAGTCAGTTGAAGCAGTCAGTTGAAGTAGTCAGTTGAAGTAGTCATTCTCACAGTAACATCTCTTTCAATAAGCAACTACATCTGAAGAGTAGACTTAACTATGGAGGTGTCTTATGATCAACTCATCTTCTGTNTGACACACAAGTCGATTTGCAGAAGGAGGTTGAGTTAACTTAAGTTGGCCAATGTAAGACAGTATACAGTAGTAAGGTCTTTTGTAGGAAATGTAGGTTGGAACTTCCAATTGACGTGCGATGCACATTTGTTGAGTTTTATTGGATATCATTAGTCTAGATGCAGATGTATTAAAGGTAATTTAATCAGAAGCTGGGAATGTATGATTTGAAGTATTGAATCATGATACTTTATGCGACATGGATATATTTCACGACATGGATAAATTTCACGACATTGATATTTATGCGACATGGATATTTCACGACATGGATATTTATGCGACACTGATATTTATGCGACATTGATATATTTCACGACATTGATATTTATGCGACATGTATATATTTCACGACATGGATATTTATGCGACATGTATATATTTCACGACATTGATATTTATGCGACGATGGAAGNTGCGACGATGGAACGACACATGTTTTGACAAGAACAAGACTTTTGATTGTAGTTGTGTTGATAAGCGATTAATTGATAGTACAAAGTGATGCGGAGTCACATTTGGGATGATTTAGTTTTCCAGAAAGAGAGGGACATGGTATAAGGGTTATGAAAGAGATATAGTGCAATAAATGTGGTAGGAGAGGAAGCAATTTGGAACACACAGTGGAACAGAAGAACAGTGATGGACAGTGGGCGTTGAATATAGATGGTAGTGAGAAGTCAGAGCATGATATTGGCTTCGTGCTGTATTTATTGTTTGCTGCATTACGCGTCTGTCTAGTGTTCGGGTAGTAGATAAGCGATATGTATGGACAGTGTGTACATTGTAAGCATAGACAGACATGGATTGTGGTCCGTTTGTACAACATTGCCGAGAGGCAGTGTATGCAGTGGCAGTGTGCTAAGTGGGTGTGCAGGTTGTGTAGGTTGAAGATATAGTTTAGCATTAATGTGGCATTGAATATTTAGTATGAGTGTGTTTGCTAGTAGTAGAGTGCGATATAGTGGGGTTGTTGTTGATACAAGAACAAGGTTGCGGTTAAGAAGCTACGAGCACGAGTAGCGCCGTGGTTGACTTGGAGTGTGGAGTGGATATACGTGGTAGTGTGAAAAAGCTATTTTTGATACTAGAGCAGAGAAAAGAGCATCGGTCAGGTGACGAAGAAGTTGAAAAAATATTTGAATAGAGAAAAGGAGTAAGCGAGAATAACATAAGCAACAATGAGAAGGTAGCGCAGATAGGTGATAGAGACAAGACTGAAGATGAAGAGGAGGACAAATATTTGGAGAGGTGTGGGAGTGAATATAGTGAGTTGTTATGCCTGTTGAGCTGTTACTATTTTTTGTACATGTTTTGGTGTAAGTTGGTAGTATTATGGAGGAAAAAAACAGAAGCAGTGGGTGTNAGCATAGGTCAGGTGACGAAGAAGTTGAAAAAATATTTGAATAGAAAAAAGGAGTAGGCGAGAATAACAAGCAACAATGAGAAGGTAGCGCCGTCAGGTGATAGAGACAAGACTCAAGATGACGAGTAGAACAAATATTTGGAGAGGTGTGGAGTGATTATAGTGACTTGTTATGCCAGTTGAGCTGTTATTATTTTTTGTAAGTGTTTTGGTGTAAGTTGGTAGAATTATGGAGTAAAAAAATAGAAGCAGTGGGTGTGATTGTAGAGAAGAATAAGTGAAAAATATGTTTATAAAATGAGATAACAAAAGATAGGGAGTAGTTGTTACAAGTGATACAACATGAGATAGAG